GGGGGGGGGGGGGGGGGGGAGGAGTCTATCATGCGAAAGCGGCATCGGTACCGTAGTACCGATCAAATGAGCTACATTAACACGTTCATTGCCAAGCTGAAAATTGGGATTTCGTATTTAAAAAATTTTTTTAATTTAGTTTTTATTGTGCTCAAAATAAGTTAATATATTATTTATATGCTTTTATTATTATGTACTTAGGATTTATGTACTCTAAATATCTATTACGCGATAACGCGTGATCGGCCGTTTGGTGAGAACTCGCATCACGCGATATCGCGTGATTGGCAGTGAACGTGTTAAAGAAGAATACGCGATCGCATAGAGTGAATGTGCTAGCGTGCCTTTATGAAGCCGGCGTTTCCTCTTACTGCTGCACAGTGTGCGGCTAATGATCACCGAGCGCTGCGTTTATTGTTCGAAAGTTCATCTCCCTCCGTTTCATTATTACAAAAAAAAAAGAATATTACGAATCATGTAATGAATACTTTTTTTCGATAAAATTCGCAATGTATCTCGCATCCAACATGAAAATATATATTTCCTGAGAATTGCTAAAAAAAAAACGAATTCTATTGGACACGGGATACTTTACGAAATTTATCAAGTGTTGCAACTTTCTTTGCGACTGACTATACAAAAATACGTTGTTCCTTCTTCATATTACGACCACAGAAAACTTTTCCCACGCATCCCATATATTTCTCATTCATTTTTACAAATCATAATATTCTCGCATGACTCTTTCTCTCGGTTGTATTTTTATACTCTATATATATTATCTTCGGTGAACTTTCTAAACCAAAGGCCACACATTTTTCAACCAAAAATTTTAACGAACGAGACGCGATTCGCGAAGTTCTCTTCCTCCGATACCGTTGTCACGGCAATTTTTGCGCGACGGTGTCAACGAATCGTCACATATCATCGCACGCATTTGCGAAAGGTAATTAATGAAACGCCTGATGTTTGCATTTGCGCGGTGGCGATCAACGATGTTCGCTTTCGCGCGATGCGCGCTATCATTCAGCCGATAATGAAACCGGCGCGTTTCTGCTGGCTCGAAGCGATAAGCGGGTCACCGTCGGAGATTCTCTCACCGAGCATACCTATCTTCAGAGGCGTCGTTGGCATCTTCCCACGGGGATCTCAGCGCGGACGCTGAGAAAACTCGCCCAGGAAACCAAGCGGTCTCGTTCACCTCTCGACCGGCGCGAACGCGAAACTTCGCTCTTAGCAATTCGCTCAAGCCACCCCCGTATCCCTCTGATCTACACTTCCCACAGGATGCTCTCGTTAATTACACCGCACAATGTTAAATTACAATTTTAATCGCTCGCATTTTCTCGCTCAACATCGTTCGTCGCTCGCATCTCGGACTCTACAGCGAAGCTCCACGCGCTACGCACAATCGATCGGTCTCAACTTCAATAAAAAAATACTAATCACCGGTTAGCTTCGATTTCAACCTCGTTCAAAAGTATCAGATTTAACTTCACGTAGCTTCGATGAAGTTACTCTTTCCTCAGCGAGTGCCGTTCTCTCACACTTCGCAGAAACGAGGGAACCTTCCGAAGGCACCCTTCGGAGAGGACTCGCTCGTTCGACACGAAAGCGTGTCTCCGTCGCCAATCAAGACGTTGCACCCGCGTTCGGTTGCATCGTTAAGTTACACTAAATACGCGCGACACGCATCGCTCGCGATCGAGAGATCGACTGAATCCGCGGACGAGCATGCATGCCACGTATCGACGCCTTATCGCGTTTTAATGTCGTACGGAGTAAGAAGCCGACGATCGGCCGCGCGTATTTGCATAGACAACGAACGAGACGCCGCTCCGTCTGTCCGTCCGTCCGGCGATATCGCACGATCACCGCTCGCGAAACGACGCCATGCGACTGCCGAGGAGCGATATATGCTTTTCAAAATAAATTCCGGGATCTTAATCACCGGCTTCCGCCTCTCCTTCCCTCCTTCCCCCGCCGTCCCTCGCAGTCTGTTACGGTCGGCAGTCGGCTTGTCAATAGTGACAACGAGCCGGCGAGCGTGAATCGCGCCGCCGAGAAAAATAGTCGGAAACGAGTGTGTGTGTGTGTATGTGTGTGTTTCAGACAATTACTCGAGCACTTAACTAACTTAACGTACGAAACAGCGACATATCCCGCCGTATCCGCACGGTATCTTCGCAATGAGATAAGGCTACACCGAGTCGCGCTACGAATCTCTGATCGAGAGAGATGAGGGTGTATCTTCGATCCCGCGGAGACGTGTGATTTTTACTTTCTGAATCGCTCGGAGAGCGAATTTCACACAAACACGAGCGCCGGCACATTATCACCGTTATACTTTCGCCGTCGCTGCTTGAAATCGCAAGAATGAAGTTCACTCGAGCTCAGAGTGGACTTCATATGTTCGAATGTTCTAACCAATCGTAGCGAATGTGTCCCTCTGGCGATGGTGAAGTACACCGGACTCACTCTTCGATTTCGAGTGGAAATCTTCACTCGACGATTCGAGAGTGGAAAATTCACAGTGCCGGGGCGAAAAGTCGCGTGAATTCGAGCGACTCGACGGTCGTTCCACTTCTCGAGCGAGATTTCGCACCAAGAGACGCATCGAGAGAGAGAGAGAGAGAGAGAAAAGCTGCTGCGATCCATTCTTCGCGCGTAAACCGCTCAATTATCGTGCAGAGCAGTCGTTCAATTATCAATACAGTAATTACAGATCACTTGTGACGAGACTGATTCTTGCCACTTCTGTCGTCCTTGGACTTCTCGCCCCTACGCCGCTTGTTCAACGGGTTCCGGGGATCGTAGATCTCGAACCAATCGTCGTCCTTCGTGCTGGCGTCCTTCGCAAGCACCGGCGCCTTCTCCTCGCAGTGCAAGGTGTGCGTCATCCAGGACTCGTCAGTCGGATCGTCGTCCTCGTTGCTCGGCAACGTCGTCTTGTCGAGATGCTCGGTGCTGCTGTTCTTCGTATGTTCTTTGGCGTTCTGCAGCTTATCCCTGAATTTGTTCAGCAGCTCCATCGTGAAGTTCTCGCGCACCTTACCCTTCTTCGGCAACTGCGCCTTCGCTTTCTTGTATCTCATTTGGGTCTCTGTGTACTCCTTCATCACTTCGGACTTCTCCTTCTCGTCGTGCTCCTTGTCATTCTCCTCCTTGTCGGCTTGCTCGCGCTCCGCCTTCTTCGCTCGCTTCTCGTTTTGCACGTCGCGCTTCAGCTCGCGTATCTCCTTCCTAATTGCCTCGCTGCGTATCACATTTTCGTCAATATGAAATGTCGTTTCAAAATCATCTAATTACAATTACTTATAACTGTGTTCTATTTGGAAGAAACAATTCTATCTGCGTTTCGTACGGTAAATATAAATATATGCAGGAAAACGATGTGACATACGCCTTTTTCTTCCGCTCCTCGTACCGATCCTTCCCGAAATAATATTCCTCCTCCACCTCCTTATCCTCATTATTCGTTTCCTCCTTCTCGACCTCGTCCTTGACTTTCGGCTTTGATTGCAAAGTCTTCTTCGAGTCCCTTAATTTACTCTTGATCCTTTCTTTCATAGCCCTGTTGTTACATCGTGCGATAACATTATATTTCACCGCAACAGCGATAATAATTATTTTGCATTATGCGGTGAGATATTTCGTTTCTACAAACTCACTCTTTTTCCTTTGCCAAAGCGGCCAATTCTTCCGGGGTGCGCGTTTCGCCGTCGCTCTCCCAGTCGCTGCTCCGATCTTCTTTGAATCTCTTACTCGGTGGTCCCGCCGGCTCAACTACAGGCTGCGCACTCAACTTCGGATCGGACAAACAATCGTGCGCCGACTTTCCCTTGCCACTGTATTGTTTGTTTAAAACTGACGATTCCTCCTCATCTTCTTCAGCTTCCTCCCCGAATGACAGTAGCTTGAAATTTCTGAAGAAATTTACAGATGTAGAGAAACGACACTTACTATTATCTGGGGCAATGTTCATCTTACTTTACACCAGCCTTCTTGACTTTCTTGCTGTCCTTACTGTCCGTTTTCTTCTCAAGTCCGACCCTTGGAACGATGTCCTGGAAAGGATTACTTAACACCTCCGTTTTTAAGATCTTCTGTGGATATTGAGGCCTGTCGTTCTGGAATGTAAATGTACCAAGAGATGTGTTCTTTTATATACAAACATTATAAATAGACACATACACCCACACACACTTACTTCATCTACAAGAGCATCTTCCAATTTGAGCATATTGTAAATTGTTTCGCCGGTAACTTTGCCAAAAATGGTATGATTATTTTGTAAGTCCGGTGTTGAGCCAAGGGTGAAGAAAAATTGAGAACCATTATCATCTTTTCCAGCATTGGCCATGGCAAGCAAGCCCCTCCGGCAAAAACGTAATCTTGTGTGAAATTCATCCTATAAATAAATCATGTAAAAGACAATTGTTCATCCAAAATTAAGAATACAGAGATACAAGGATATAAGTTCGAATTATGAACAACTATACCTTAAAAGGATATCCATATATACTCTCACCACCTTCTCCTGTTCCTGTCGGGTCTCCACCTTGCGCTATAAAACCTTTTACAACTCTGTGAAATATCGTGCCATTGTAGTAACCTTCCATACAAAGCTGTATAAAATTTTTGCAAGCCTTGGGCGCTTCTTTTGTCCATAATTCCAAATCTATGTCACCGAATGTTGTCTTCATTACCACCTATCAAATTAGCAAATTAGCAAAGAAAGAGGAAAGGAAAGTAGAGTAAATAAATGAAAAACAAGATGTGATTTAACTGTAATATTTAATGTAATACTAAGAAACTCTACAGAGTAAATCTTGATGATGTTACATTCACACATTGGTTGATTTAAATTTTTATTAAAAGCAAAATTTACCTTCAAAGCTTTTATGTATCTCTTTATTTATATTTAAGAGTAAATTAGGCTTACCTTTCCCGTCGTGGGTGGTTCTTGTATGTAAATATTGCTCATGTTTATAACCTAACACTAATAACAAGCGATGAATAGCTAATAAAGTTAAATTGTTTTTTTTTCCGTTAGAAGATCAATTATTTAATATAATTCAGTATTTATTTATAAAATCCTTAATTTTTCGTTAATAAGTAGAAAGAAAAAATTATTGACTTATATAGTGGTAATATACTGGAAATTAAAAATACGTATATACGTATATTTTTGAGTCATATTACTGGAAGATATAGCATATTTATCGTTAAGTCGTACTACGAAGGACCACAGTGGACGTTTACAAGTAGTCAGATTTGCAAGATCTTAGGTCTGTTCGTTTTCGCTGTAACGCTGAAATAGCGCAATAAGTTAAAGTGAGAAAACATATACTTGTCTCGCTTTGACTTATTGCACTAGTTCAGCGGTACATCGAAAACGAACAAACCTTTTGTGTCCACGATGCTAGGATCTCGAGCAGAATTGTTGGTCAGATATAAAAGTTACTAGAAATTACTGTAAATTTTAGTATTCATAATCGGATCTTATATTTAAGACCGTCTTGAATTTCTTTTCAGATGCTGTACGGCACATTTCATTGGCTATGAAATATCTGAAGATAAATTTAATACAGTTTTATATATAAGATCCGACTATGATTAGAAACGGACATAATCATCGATGTTCGCTCATTGAGGATACGTCGTACGATGAATTTGTCGGATGTCCGATTGGCTGTCGGATAGAGAATTTCTAGAATTCCCAATATTTTCTTTACATGTAATACCATCCCCGATGCTGTTAAACGGCTCAATATGTTGTTTTTCACTGCTCTCGCCTGTCTGAGGCATCAGCTTTACTTATTGTTGAAATCAACAAGTTGGGTTTCCCGCCGAACCTAAAACAATTGGCCTTCTCTGATTCGTTTCTGGCCTTCAAATTATTGAACAACTTTGTCTCATCCAATAACATTCGCCTATAACGTATCCACTGGACTTTAAATCACATCACCCAGGTGGCGCATGGTTTTGTCTAGCCAGTCAAAAGATAAGAGTGCCTAGTGTTGTCTACTACTGCAAACAGCTTGTTAGACAGGATTGAGCGGGCATTAGCGTGGGACGTACGGTATCAGGTAGTAATTTCGTAAAATTCTATTGTTACGTTATAAAATCCGATATTATTTTCCATTGAGATTTACTCTTAATTATAGTTATAACTGTTAAAATTATCATGTATTTTTAAGATATGATTTTAAATTTAAAAAATCGCTTTAACCCATTCATACCCTTCTCACGTAATTTATCCGTGCAACATTGGAACGTGGTGAATGTGTAAGTGCGAGTTAGACGTTACAAAACGAAAATCGTCGGAAGTTAGATCGTGAGGAGAAGTGTGTTACATATATGACAAAAGCTAACGTTGACATTGTTGCCACGTTAGCAACGATTGCTACAATGTTATTAATTAAACTTTTCTGTTATAAACTTACAATGTTATTGTAAACTTTTCTTTGCTATATGGGCACAGATTTCTATATAACATACTAGACTGCGTATCCTAAATATATGTATCAAAGTTGGAACATCGCATGTGCGAAGTAAGAGCACAAAGAATGTTATTTACACCTTATGTCGCCATGTTGGATTCTAAGTGCGGCGAGAAGTTTCTTTGCAAACTTTAAAGTATTCTTTGATGCGCTTTTCACAAAAAATACCGTCAAAGAAAATGCCGTTAAGATACATGGTGAAAGAGTGTCCAAATACAAATCATAAAGATTGTGAGATTTTCAAGTATTTTATAACCTATAACCGTTCAAGTACTAGCAGACATTTTTGTCTTCTTATTTCGCACATGCGCTGTAAGGGAGAATCATGACAAAGAAGCAGAAAGCAGAGAAGCTGCAGCCAATCAGAACTCGCGCTAGTAGTGAGCAGTAGATAAAGCAGAAACTGTCGACTGAACCAGCACGACTTCTGATTGGCTGCTGTTTTTCTGCTTTTCTGCCAAGGTGTGAATTCTCCCCTAACTTATGTACAAGTTAGGTATATAAAGATTGGGTGTACCCGATAAGCAGTATATGAATAAGTAGTACGTGGTCGATACAATATTGCAATGTTGCGATGCAATGTTTCGGAAACGTTGATTTAACGAGGATACTATATGGATTATTTGTAAACAATTAGTGTTAGAAAAATTGAGACATTTTATTTAATTTTTTTTTCTTTTCGTTAACAGCAACAGTTTTAGCATAATACAAATTATTTAACATAAGAGGACTTTAATACACCGTAAAAATGAGTAAGACGGCTACATATTATGATGTACTGGGCGTGAAGAATAGATGTACAGAAGAAGACTTGAAGAAGGTCTACAGGAAGCTCGCTTTGAAATATCATCCCGACAAGAATCCAAATGGGAGTGAAAAAGTATGCGTCGATTTTAATTAACGAAGCAGCCGGCAATGGATTTTATATTACCGTTCTGTGCTTCCTCATAATTGCGTAAGGTTACGAACGAATTACATATTTACAAAATACTTGGAATTTGTTTCAGTTTAAGCAAATATCTGAAGCGTACGCGGTACTGTCGGACCCTAAGAAGAGACGTTTATATGACCAAACTTTCGCTAAACGTCATTCGTTCACTCACCCGTGCAACGCAGAATTTCCCAGCAATATTATTACGATGTTATCAATATTGCTGAGACCCTACCATCTTACAATATTACGGCGTTGCTTCAAGTTTCTGTACTCTACGATTCTGTACTACTTTATAGGTTATTTCGGTACTCGCGACAAAGTTCGTAAAAAAGAGCGACGTTCCACACTGAACTGTGGTATTGAAAACGTCTTAAAGGCGGCGATAACAATATTAGCGTTAATGGATTATGTAGTGATCGAGAATCTACGAAAAATGAGGGATACAAAGTGACTGTACAACTATGGACCGCCAGGGGAGGATCTCGATTAACCACATTGCAATGGACTAACCACAATCGGACGTGATTTGGCGATTTCCCAATGTCGTTCGATCGATGCAACCTGTGGTCGATCGAGTGACTCACTCGATCGCTTTTCTCCGCCGGAAGTGTCTGTCAACATCTGCAGCGCCACTAGTACCAAACACGACCGTTATCTAAACTGTTATCGCACTTTTCATTCCTGTTTTATCATCGAAGTGATGTTTGATCGCGATTGTAAATTTGTAAGGAAAGAAAAATAATAAGAACAAGATCAGCTGTATGTAACAAAAATGATATTAGTTGTGTAGTTTGTACGATGTTGCTTTTTTTACACGATAACATAAAAGTAGTATTTGTATGTAAGTAAAAAATATACATGTTACGCGTAACATTATACGTAAAAATATGACTTTCTCATTAATGTTAAGACTTACTTTAGACGATGTGCCGAATTTTTTGGAGAGATGTAAGAATTATTAATAAAGATCTAGTTTACTTCAGCAATATATCTGTTATCATATGGTATTTTCGTGTGTGTCTGAACGTATGAAGTTGTTAAAGCATGACTTGCTTTCCGTATTATTATTGTATATATATAACCTCATATATTTATCAAGGATTACATCTGGAAGGCCGCTTCGCGTATGCACGTTCGTTATATTGATAAAACACATATCGTATCCAAGAAGCTTCAGTTCCGCGAGCCGATTCTTAAACGTAGGATTGCGCGCGCGACCGGTCAATAATAATTAATAATTATGTTTCGGATTTCGTTATTGGTGACCTTTATCGGTGAATCACGAACAAACTGATCATATTCTTCCTAAATATTAAAAAGAAACAGATTGAAGGCAAATTTTCCCTGAAAAAGAAATCAACGGTGAATCCAGCAGGACCGCTCGCGACAGAAATATACTCGCAAATATGGACTGGAACATTTGGGAGTCGAACGCCACAGTAATTAAATACTCAAACGCCAACTCGCTGGTTCGAATTAGCCTGAAGGATTATATAAAGGATATTTATGTCTCAGAGTTTTCTGCAGAATGGGAGAGAAACATATTGGCTCTGATACCGCAAAGGGACAGAAGGAAGCACTCCACTTTCATAAACTCGGTATTGGACGAGGTCAGAGGGATCTACGTGGAAAGTATGAAAGATTTCGCGCTGAGATCCGTGTTGTCCTGCAAAGTTTACAAGAGACGGCGCACCGTTTGCGAGGGATGCGACGTCTCACCTGGCTTGGGACGGAGCGTCGTGGAGGAATACGCGATGTATAACCGATCTGTATTCTTAAAACGCCGTTGCACATTCGCCGAAAGATACTTCCTTTCTTACCCGATAATCAGGCACGTCATCAACACGGCGCATCGCATTCTGCCCGCAGTGATTTGTGATTTCAGACGTTACCACGAGATCGGGATGCTGAGGTTGCACAGTTTCCAAGGGATGGTCTCCGAGGACATCAAGAGAGGCGCTCTGACGATCACCAACAAGTTTTACACCGAGATCTGTAGGGCTGTGGGAAAATCGAGGACATTGAGGAAGATCCCGGCGAAGCGTCTGCCGCAGCTTATGCGCTGTCTCACGAACGTGTTCGTGCAGCAGATCCTCGGTGTGACGATGAGAACGATCGATTGCTTGATCAGTATCATGAGAGAGGCACGTTTTTGCCCCCGGATCGAGTTTCAGCTGGTGTGCGAGGACGGCCGGCTTGTCACTCAGCCGGACGTGGAAGAGGTGTTCTCGACATACCACGATATCATCAGGAGCATCGAGGCTATCGCGCAGGATCTGATGCCGTTGGAAGAATGGCTGGACGTCAGGGCGAGGGAGAAATACATCAAGATCACGCTTCCCGACTGGTTCGTGGAGGAGTCTCATCGCGAGCTGCAGGATATAATGGACGTTCTGTTCCGACCGGTGAACGAGCACGTGGCGCTCGTCTCCGAGGAGTTCGGCGACGTGTGCTCGTCGAGCAGCCGGAGCCGGATACGCTCGTTGACGTCCAAACAGCCGAACTTTGAAGCGTACCTCTCGTACATACGCAAGTATAAAGATTACCTGAGCAGGACGAGCTCGATGCTGTCCAGCTTGCCTTACAACGTGGGCAGACTGGAGCAGATCGGCGCGAAGGAGTCCCTGAGACGGATCTGCGCCGACGTCGTGAACGTGCTGACCGCGGAGCTCGTGCGTTACCACCGGGACTTCAATCACTCGATCTGCACGGACTTCGAGGAGCTGAAATCCACGGCGCTGGACATCCCGAAGGACGCGCAGTCGCTGATACAGTTGGCCGAGTACATGTCGCACGCTTCGAAGGTGTCGATGAGGGAATTAGAGCGGCGGATACGACGGTCGATCCGCATGCTGTGCGAACTCTCGGACATCACCGTGCTGAGCGACGAGCACGTCGAGCTGAACAAGCGCACCGTGAACTGGCTGGGCGACGTTCAGCCGGTATTCGCGCAGAACAACACGCTGTGCGAGGCGATGAAAAGCGAGCTCGAGGAGGAGCTCCAACGGCGGATCAACGGCTTGAACACGGAGGTGAACGCGACGTTCCCGCAGCTGCTCATCCTCGACAGCATGGACGATATCGACCGGGTCGGGGAGTACGCGGAGCACTACAAGGAGCTGATCAAGAGGTACGAGCGCATGAACGGTGAGATGCGAGCGATCAACTCGGAGGAGAGGCTGTTCAAGTTCCCCGAGACGGAGTTCCCGAAGATCGGCGAGCTGGGGGAGACGATCGTGCCGTTCCACACGCTGATACGCACCGTTCACCAGTGGCAGCGGGACAACTCCGTGTGGCTGAACGGGCCGTTCGAGCGGCTGGACGCCACCGTGATCGAGCGTAAGACCGTGAGCTACCTCGACGAGATCACGGAGATGAGCAGGACGATGAAGTCGCGCATCAAGATGGACGTGACGGCGAACAGGTCGTACAAGTTCGCCGGCATCGCCGACGACCCGGACCCGATGCAACAGCCGGCGCCGTTGAAGCTCTGCTGGCAAGCGCTGAACAACGTCAACGGCTTCAAAGCGTACCTGCCGCTCGCGGTCTGCATGTGCAACCCCGCCTTGGAAGCGCGCCATTGGCGAGAGATGTCCGCGATATGCGGCTTCGACCTCACGCCGAACGCCGGCACGACCCTGAGGAAAATGATCGACATGAACCTGATGGACAATATCGACAAGTACCGGGCGATCAGTCTGGGCGCCAACAAGGAGCTTCGTCTTCAGCGAGAACTGGCCGAGATGATCGCCGAGTGGCGGCCGGTGTCCTTCGAGATGTCGGCCGACGCGCAGACCGCGGTCTTCGAGCACGCGAGCGACATCGAGACGCTGCTCTGCGAACACTTCGTCAAGATCGAAGAGATGAGGGCGTCCCACTTCGTCGGGCCCGTATTGCCCGACGTGCTCGGCTTCCTCGCCGTTCTCACGAGGATTCAGGAGAGCCTCGATCGGTGGACGCGGATACAACACCGTAAACTCCAGCTGGACCTGATATTCTCGCATCCGGGCGTCGCGACGCGTCTGCACGGGGAAGCCGCGTTGTATCGGGAAGCGACGGGGATTTTGCGAGACGTCGTCGACAGGTTCACGGAGGATCCGACTTACCGAAGGATGAGAGAATCGACGGATCTACCGGAGATCTTGAGCGGAGTCAACGAGAAGCTGGAGGAAGCCGGCAAAGGCGTCAGCGATTACCTGGACCTGAAGAGGCTGTCCTTCCCGAGGTTCTTCTTCCTCGAGAACTCGGAGATCCGGGAGATACTGTTCGAGCCTGACCCGGTGAAACGCACTGAACATTTTTACTCTTGCAACTGCTACCGAAATATTTGTTACGCACACATTTTTTCTTTTTTTCACTCGCGTCAACCAAATGTATCGCGCGAAGAGAACAGACTTCGTAAATTCGTTCAGAATCAGCGCGACCAAATTATTCGCTCAGTTCCTTCGGGTTTTGCAAAGAAACCGTGAAATTCCGTTCACGGAAAAATGGCCTTATTACGTAAGATATGAAATTGAAAGCTTTTTAAGTGACCCGCGCGGAGTATCTATTTGAGAAAAGTCCGCGTTACTTTCAAGAAACTCGCGCGTCACGTTTGTAATTCATTTCGGCAGCGGCGGAGGTCCGAGGATTCGCTCCTCGACAGGACTCTCCGTCAGGGAACGAGATTCCGCAGTTGCAGTAGCGAAACAATGAGCGCGTATCAACGAAATCATTCGAGTCCGGTTACGACTGAATCGAGTGAATTTTTCAGTGCGTGAAGAAGTGCTTCCCCGGCGTCGAGCGGCTGAAACTCGGCCGCAGGTCCGGCCGCATTGAACGCGTCGTCGGGCGCTACGGGGAGAGCTTGGGTCTGAAGAACAGCGTTCCGAGGTCCACCGGCGCCGGGAACGAGGAGGAATGGCTGATTCGGCTGGAGGAAGAGACGACGGGCGCGGTTCGCGAGGCCATTCCGCGATGTCTGCCTCCGCTCGGCGAAGACCCTCTGGCCGCTCGGGACGACGTGCCGAGCGTGGCGGTCGTTTGCGGGCTTCAACTTCACTGGACCTCCTCGGTGGAGGAGTGTCTCGCGTCGTCGAACGCCGCGGCATTGGGCTGTCTGTCCGCGAGGTACAGCGACTGGATCGTTTCGACGACGAGCGTGCTGGGGGGCGATTTAACGCGAAGACACAGAAGCCTGCTGACGTCGTTGATCGTCATCTCGTCCGTCCACAAGGACATCCTCGGTCTACTGCTGGAGAGGAACGTCAGCGAGAAGAGGGAGTTCGAGTGGGCCGCGCAGATGAGATATTACCGTCAGCCGGACACGGAGCTCGTCCGTGTTGCGGTGTTCAACGCGACGATCGAGTACGGCTACGAATACCAGCACTACCAGCAGAACATCGTCAGCACACCGTTGACCGATCGGTGTTTCCGCACCGTCATGCAGGCGTACCGTTACCACTTGTACAGCAGCGTCGTAGGTCCGACCGGCACCGGCAAGACGGAGACGATCAGGAGCCTGGCGAGTGCTCTCGCGAAGCCGTTTTACGTCGTCCACTGCAGCCGTAGCGTCTCTTACGAGTGCGCGGCGCGGCCGTTCAAGGGAGTGATCTGCCGCGGCGCCTGGCTCTGCCTCGAGAACTTGGACGGGCTGAAGCTCGAGCTGCTGTCGGCGATCGCTGAGAACCTCGCGCGGATGAAGCGGGCGGTGTCGGCGAAGCTGAGGACCGTGAGCCTCGACGGCTGCGCCCTGAGCTTGAACGCTTCCGGGAACGTGTGCGTCAGTATCGAGCCGCGGCGACGCTCCGAGCTGCCGGACAATCTCAAGGTTCTCTTCCGTTCGGTGTCGATGATGGCGCCCGACCTCGGCAGGATCGCCGAGATCGAGCTGTCCGCCGGTGGGTTCCTCCGCGCGAGCGACCTGGCGGCGAGATTGGCGCTCGGTTACAGGCTGTTGTCCGAGCAGCTGGCGGGAAAGGATCGCTACGACCTCGGCCTGGGCTCGCTGAGGGCCGTCCTCGGCGCCGCGGTCGGCATGAAACGAAGCCTGCCGCCGGAGCAGGACGAGTGCGCGTTGCTGTTGCGCTCGATGATCGACGTGAACATGCCGCAGTTGCGCGACGCCACCGATGTCGTCCTCTTCCAGGATCTGATGCGAGACATCTTCCCCGAGAGCGTCGTGCCGCCTTTCGACCATTCGGCGATCTCGAGCGCGCTCGAGGACGCGTGCGCCGGAAGATGCCTGACGCTGCACGAGGTCTTCAAGTTGAAGGCCATACAGATCGTCGAGCTGATGTGCGTCCGTCGCGCTCTCGTGCTCGTCGGCGAGCCCTCGAGCGGAAAGACGGAGATCCTACGGACGCTCGTCGAGGCGTTGTCGCTGCTGGCCGATCGTGGAAACGGGATCGGCGCGACGGTGGAACTCGAGACCGTCCTGCCGGGAGCGGTGGACGGCGACGAGCTGCTCTTCGGACGCCTGTGCGCCGCTGCGTTGCGTCGCTTCGCGGAAGACACCTCGCCGAGTGGTCGCAAGTGGCTGGTGCTCGACGGAGCTCTGAGCGGCGCCTGGCTCGAAAACCTGCACACCGTTCTCGACGGGAACAGGACGCTGCATCTGGCGTCGGGCGAGCGGCTCCCCGTCACGGAAGCCACGTCCGTGGTCTTCGAGACGGTGGACCTGCTCGAAGCGTCGCCCAGCTTGGTGTCGCGATGCGGGATCGTCCACATCGACGTTCACTCCGTCGGCTGGAGGCCGCACGCCCTGGCTCACCTGGCGAGCCACGGAGTCTACGGCGGCCACGAGGAGACGGTGAGCGCCCTGCTCGACTGGGCGGTGGATCCGTGCCTGGACTTCCTCAGGGAGAACGCCGGTGTGCCGACGGCTCGCGAATTACACCTCGTCGTTTCGACGTTGAGCCTGCTGGAGATGCTGCTGAAGGACGCTTGCGAGGAAGCCACGGAGGATGACACGGACAATCACTTCGTCGTGTGGGCCCAGGCCGCCCTGATCTCGGCCATTATTTGGGGCCTGGGTGGGAACTTGGTCGAGGATTCGCAGGCCCGGTTCGACGCCTTCTGCGCGTCCTTGTGGAACGGCGCGGGACACCCAAAGCCCGATTGCGTCCGGCACTTGGACCTGCCCACGGAGGGTCTGATTCAGGAGAACGTCTACGTCTTCCGAGGCGCCGGCAGCTGGCGCTACTGCGCCGACGCGTTGAAGAGCGAGAGGATCCCCGAGACGCGCAACTTCGGTCAGGCTTACATCCCCACGATGAGCAGCGTGAAGTACCACCGAGTGTTCTCGAGGCACATTCACCACCGGAAGCCTTTCCTCGTGTACGGCGACGTCGCGGTCGGCAAGTCCTGCATGATGCGCGAGCTGCTGAGCAACGGGCTGCCGGCAAATTGTCAGTCGAATTTCCTGAGCTTCGCCTCGATGCTGAACGCGAGCAGGGCGCGGAGCTTGCTGCTGGCCAAGCTGAACAAGACGCGACGCGCGAATTACGAGCCGGGTGGCGGGCGGTACTGCGTGAACTTCGTGGACGACGTGAGCGGAGCCGTGGTGCGGCGGCCGGAGGCGCGCCACGCGCTCGAACTCCTGCGGCAACTCCTCAGCTACGGTTACTGTTACGACGCGAGTTGCGAGTCGACGAAGGTTTTCCTGCGGGACGTCGGGTTCGCGCTCGCATTCACCACGGGGAGGACCGGCGAGGACGTGCCCCCGAGGCTCCTGAGACACTTCAACAGCTACACGCTCCCGGCCCCGACGACGGACGATATATTCAGGATCCACTCCGCCATGTTGCTCGGCAACTTGAAGGGGAATCTGTTCGCGGCGGACGTGACCGGGACCGTGAACAGCATGGTGAACGCGACGATTGGCGTGTACCGCTCCGTGGTGAAGACGCTGCGAGCAGTGCCCGCGAAGCTGTGCTACTTCTTCGACCTGAGAGACGTGTCGAGAGTGATCGCCGGCTGCAGCCTGATACAGAAGGAGTCGGTGGAGACGAAGATCACGTTCATCCGGCTGTGGGTGCACGAGATCCTGCGCGTCTTCGGCGACCGCATGTCGACCGACGAAGACGACAGGGAGTGGCTGTTCCTGAGGACCCGCGACGCCGTCAAGAGCAACTTCAAGGACTCGTACGAGGTGGCGTTCGATCACCTGCCGAAATCCGAGGACGCGCGGATCACGAAGGACAGCTTCGGCGACTTCGTGTTCGGCAATGTCATGGACGCGGAGAGGAAGCGGTACGAGGAGATCAGCTCCATGGAGGCGCTCAGGAACAAAGTCCTCGCGCAGTTGGACGAGTACAACGCGAGGAAGAAGAGGAAGCTCGACGTCGTCGTGTGCCACTACATGCTGAGATCCCTCGTTAAGATCGCGAGGATCCTGAGCATCCCGGGCGGAAGCGTGCTGATGATCTCCGGAACGGGATCCGGCAGGAGGTCCGCCACCGCGCTCGCCGCCTTCGTGCAGCGGCAGAGCCTGTTCGAGGCGACGGCGGAGTCCTGTCGCGACGCGGACGCCTGGAGACGCCATCTGAGGGGAGTCCTGCGGGAGTGCGGCGCGTTGCGGAGGGACGTGACGTGTTTCATGAGCGAGCGGCGGATGAGGGAGGAGCTGTTGGGCGACGTCAGCTGCCTGCTGAGCACCGGAGAGCTGCCGGACCTCTTCACCGCCGAGGACCGGCAGGATATAATCGCGATGACGCGGCTGCACGCCCAGGCCGGCGATCGCAACGCCGAGGTGAGCGCGCGCTCGGTGATGCTGTACTTCGCGGAACAGTGCAGGAGGAGGTTGCACTTCGCGCTCAGCTTCACCCCGGTCAGTGCCGCGCTCAGGGCGTGCCTGCGGGCGCATCCGAGCCTGGCGAGGCACTGCACGGTGAACTGCTACGAGGAGTGGCCGGAGCAGGCCCTGCTGGAGATCGCGGTTAGGCACATGAGACGCGCGAACGTGCGCGAGGAGATGAAGGCGCGAGCGGCGAGGATCTGCGTGCGATTCCACGAGGACGCGAGGCGGATGAGCTCGAGGTATCGCGAGACCTTCGGCAGAACGGTCCACGTGACCTTCCCGGGCTTCCTGCACATGCTGAGGCTGTACACGCGGCTGACCTCGCGGAAGCAGAGGGAGATCGTCGGGACGCGGAACAGGTACCTGGCGGGCCTGGAGAAGCTGGAACTGGCGGCCGAGCAGGTGGAGCAGATGAAGGCCACCCTGACGATCCTCAAGCCCCAATTGGAGCTGTCCGCTCGGCAGACGGTGATCAGCATGAAGGAGGTGGAGGACGAGAACGTCACGGTGGAGCGGGCGACCGGTGTCGTGAAGCAGGAGGAGGAGATCGCGAACAGGAAGGCGGAGATCGCGGGCACCCTCAAGTCCGAGTGCGAGGCCGACCTGGCGGTCGCGATACCCATCCTCGAGGACGCGGTGCTCGCTCTGAACACGCTGAAGCCGACCGACATCACGCTGGTGAAGGCGATGAAGAACCCGCCGGACACGATCAAGCTGGTGATGGCGGCGGTCTGCGTTATGCTGGGCGTCCCGCCGGATCGCACGATCGACCCGGTCACCGGCAGGAGGTACACGGACTACTGGGGCCCGAGCAAGCGCGTCCTCGGCGACATGAACTTCCTGCAGAGCCTCCGGGATTACGACAAGGACAACATCGCGCCGGCGGTGATGCAGGTGATCAAGAAGACGTACATGACCGACGTCAGCTTCATGCCGCGCATCGTCGCGAAGGCGTCCAGCGCCGCCGAGGGCCTCTGCAAGTGGGTGCGCGCTATGGTGTCCTACGACGAGGTCGCCAAGGTGGTCGCGCCGAAGAAGAAGAAACTGGCCGAGGCGCAGACCGAGTGCGACGAGGCCGAGGCGTTCCTCAACGAGAAACGGCAGAGCCTGGCCGCGCTGAACGCCAAGCTGGCGGCGTTGAACGACAGTCTGCGCCGGACGTTGCGGAAGAAGCTCAACCTGGAGACGGAAGTGGCCACCTGCACCGGCAAGTTGATCAAAGCGGAGAAGCTGATCGCGAGCCTCGGCGGCGAGAAGTACCGTTGGATGGAGTGCTGCCGTAATCTTCAGACGAGCTACGACAACCTCGCGGGCGACATGCTGCTCTCCTGCGGTATAGTCGCCTACGCGGCGTCCTACAACACCTCCTTCCGCGACCAGGCGCTGGCCGAGTGGAAGGCCGTCGTGGCTACCGCCGGTATACCGCACGCCGAAACGTACAGCTTCGTGAGCGTCCTAGGCGACGAGACCGAGATCAATCGTTGGCAGAGCTGCGGCCTGTCCGAGAACCGCTTCGCGGTCGAGAACGCCGTGATCCTCAGGAATTCGGAGCAGTGGTGCCTGTTCATCGATTCGCAGAACCAGATCAACCGGTGGATCAAGAGGGTCGAGCGGAAGAACGGTCTGAAGGTCGTCAAGCTGACGGACGCCGACTGCATGACGGTGATCGAACGGAGCATCGAGACCGGCGCGCCGGTTCTGCTGGAGAACGTCGGCGAAAGGCTGGAGACCGGCTTGGAGCCGATTCTCCTGAGGGACACCTACGAGAACGGCGACTCGCGGTGCATCGACTTCGCGGGTAAGTCGCTGCGGTACTCGCAGGACTTCCGATTCTACCTCACGACGCGGCTCTCCAACCCGAATTACACGGCCGACCTTTTCAGCAAGCTGACGATCATCGACTTCTCCATGCCGGACGCGACACTGCGGGACAAGCTGCTGGACATCGTCGTCTCGAAGGAGAAGCCGGAGCTTCAGGAGAAATTCGAGACTCTGCGCGTCCAGGACGCCGCGAACAAGAAAGTCCTCCAGCAGCAGGAGGACAACATCCTCAGCACCCTCTCGTCGACGAGCGCGAACATCCTGGAGGACGAGAAGGCGATACGCACGTTGGACTCCTCCAAGAGCCTCACGATGGAAATCATGAGACGGCAGGAAGCGGCCGGAGCGACGGTGAAGGACATCGGCAGGTTCAGGGACGCGTATACGCAGCTCGCCGAGCACTGCGCCGAGTTGTTCTGCACGCTGAACGCTCTCTCCAGCCTGAATCACATGTACCGCTTCTCCTTCTCCTGGTTCATCCAGCTGTACGTCAGCTCGATCGAGACCTCGAGCAGGAGCGTCCTCCTCGAGAAGCGGCTGCGCTTCCTCAAGTCCTCGTTCACCAGGAACCTCCACTCCAGCGTCTGCCGGTCCTTGTTCGACAAGCACAAGCTCCTCTACTCCTTCCTGCTGTGCGTCAAGGTCCTCATCGACACCGGACGGCTGACGCGCGAGGAGGTGCGATGCTTCACCTCCTCGGAAGCGGAAGACCTCGATGGAACCTCAGCGCCGGAATGGTTGTCGGCGACCGCGTGGCGGCAGATCCGCGGATTGAGCTCCAGACTGCCGGCTTTGCGCCAACTCACGAGCGAGTTTCGCTCGAACGGCGCAGCCTGGAGGAAGTATTGCGAGACGGTGCCGTTCGCGAGCGATCCGCTGCCGTGGCCCGACCACGGTCTCACGCGCTTCCAGAAGTTGCTGATCGTCAAGGCGGTGCGGCCCGACAAGATCGTCGCGGAGGTAATGCGGCTGATCGAGGACACCATGGGCGACGTGTTCGACTCGCACCCGCGCCTCCTCATGTCCGAGTCGTACGAGGAGTCGAACTGCCGCACGCCGATCATACTGATCCTGCCGAGCTACAGCGCACCCCTGTCGCTGCTCTCGGCGTACGCGAGCGCCAGGGGATACACCTCCAAGTTCACGTGGCTGTCCATGGGCGAGGGGCGGTCCGCCGAGGCCGAGGCTCTCATAGCGCGAGCGCGCAACCACGGCGGATGGGTGTTCCTGCAGAACTGTCATCACGCCGGCGACTGGATACCGCGGCTCGAGCGGATCTGCGAGGACCTGGCTCCTTCGTCCTCGGACTTCCGGCTATGGCTCTCGAGCCGCGCCACACCGGACTTCCCCATCAGCGTCCTGCAGAACAGCGTGAAGATCGCGTACGACAGCCCGTTGAAGCTGAAGCAGAGCCTGCTGCGAGCGTACCGATCCGAGCCGGTGAGCGAGCGGCAGTTCTTCGAAGGATGCCCCGGCAGGGACAAGGAGTTCTCCAGGCTCCTGTACGGGCTCAGCTTCTTCCACGCGGTCGTCCGCGAGAGGAGGCACTTCGGCCCGCAGGGATGGAAAGTCCCGTACGATTTCGAGCAGCCGGATCTCGAGATGTCCGTCAGGCAGCTGCGGGATCTGGTCAACGAGCACGCGGCGGGCGTACCGTTCGACGCCCTCCTCTATCTCGTCGGCGAGTGCAACTACGGCGGCAAGGTGACCGACCTGCCGGATCTCCGGTGTCTGCGGCACCTGCTGAGCACCTTCTGCGACGCTCCCAGCGTCGGACGCTCGTCCGACGATCCGACGGAACACTCGGCGCCGCTGAGATGCGAGTATCGCGACGTCGTCGCGCACATCAACGGGATGCGGCTGGACGCGCCGCCGGCGGCCTTCGCCGTCGACGAGAACGCCCTCGTCGCGAGGGACGCCGCCGCCGGCAGGGAATTCCTGCGATCGATGTCTCTGCTGGGCCGAATCGCACCGGCGGATCGGCAGGCCGGCGCGGAGGATCGGCTGCGGGAGGCGGTCGGCAAGATCAAACTGCCCGCTCTCTTCGACCTCGGCGAAATAACGCGAAGCGGACTCGGCTCGCGCGAACCGCTCGATGCGATCCTCACTCGCGAAGCTGAACTGATCAACCGAATCGTCATCACCGTCGCGGAGTCTCTGAGCGATTTGACGTTGGCGTTGAACGGTGACGTCGTCATGAGCGATCGCCTGGAGGACTTCTCGAAGGAGATATGCAACAACGAGGTCCCGCGTCTCTGGAGAGCGATCGACGCCGGCATCGTCACCAGACACCTGTCGAATTACATCGACTTGCTTCTGAAGCGAGCGGATTTCCTGCGAAATTGGCGCGACAACGGTCCGCCCACGTTCCTCCGCTTCGACGCGTTATCCTGCTGCAAAAGATTCCTCTCCGCGGCTCTCCTCACGTTCTCGCGACGTCGCGGTGTACCGGTCGAACGGGTCGCCCCGAATCTCCGTGTAACGTCGAAGGACGACGAGGAGGATGCGGACGCGTATTACATTCATGGTTTACGCTTGATCGGCGCGCGATGGGACGCGCAGCGGCACGTGCTGACCGAAAGCCGGACGAACGTATTCTGGTGCGACATGCCGCCTGTGCGTCTCACGTTCGGTAGGGACGAGGGAAAAGTCGACGATAACGTTTACGAGTGTCCCGTGTACGTCTCACCGGGGCGGCGATGCTGCGAAGGGGAGACTGACGGGGATGAGATGAGAGGCGCTTACGTTACAAGCGTGTCTCTGGAAAGCGATGTGTCGCGCGCGCACTGGATTAAACGTGGCGCAGCACTGTTCTGCCAAGTGGACGAATAAAGCTTCGGACCCTATAAGCGCGTGATGTTAATTAATTAATTCATATTTCTGGAATATCAACGGATGATTATATCGTCCGCTTCTAATAATATTTAAGATGTCATCTAATATCGTTGTAATATTATATATTTTTTAAATATTTAACTCTATATATAATATATGTATAATTGCAGTTTTTTTTTTTTTTTCAAATGCATCGCAATACCAATTGTTTCATTATATATAATAAAAGGTTTTCAATTTGCAATGTACGTGTGCACAAAGTACGAGATTAAGTGGAAATTCGGCACGTCCAACGCGCGACTGCCACTTCGCCTCGTTCAAACTGGCCGCGCGCGCACCCGGTCCGATTCCGCGTGAACGAGGGGAATGACAGGTACATACATGGATCGTGAAAATTGACGCAAGGCGGTGAAACACGGGGAGAGTGTTAGCCTCACTGCTGGGGGTGGAATTGACGCGAAGTTCGCACGTCGAGACACGCAAGGAAAAGAGAGAGGGAGAGAGAGAGAGAAAGAGAGAAAAAGAGAGATACGGGAAATCTGGTGATAACTCGTGAGTTCTTTCAAAGATTCGCGAAAAAGAATGGCGAGCCACGACGAGTTAGTCTCGCAATTCGCAGACGTAACTGGTGTTGAGGCCGAGAGAGCGCAGTTCTACCTTGAATCGTCCGCTTGGCATCTCGAGGTGAGACAGCATATTTACTCGAGGGACCCCCGTGGAGAGTGGAGTATCGAGTGAAATCGCATTGTTCTTCTCGCTGCCTCCTCTCGCGAGAAACTCCGGGCGTTTCGTCGCGGTAATCTCGACACCAGTTTTGTAACCTGTAATTCGCTTTCGCACTCGTCGACACGACTTGATTCTTCGAAGGCACTCTCTGTGAGTGCCCGCATATTTCTCCCCCCCTCCCCCCCCCTTTTCTTCGGTCCTTCGGTAAGCCCGATCTGATCGTTCCACGGTCAATAGCAGGGACGAAATATCGCCGAGTCGGTTGGGTCTTTGTCAGTGAGACCAAACGTTGAAATCATCGAGGCTTCAACATTTCGCAACGATTCTGTCACAGGCGCTGGCACGTAGTATTCTTGCAGGTCGCCCTCGCGAGTTTCTACGAGAACGACGAGCTACCGGCGTTGGTGGTAACCGAGCCGGTCGACGATACAGAACGAGCGGAAGGGTTACGGGACAGTGGCGCGGACACGATGTCGAAACACAGCAAGTCCGACGCGGTGGAGTCTACGGGCGCCAAGCCGAAGGCTAGGTTCGGGACATTGAGCGATCTTCAAAACAAAGAGAGCAGTTCCGAGGATGAGGAGGGACAAGCGTTCTACGCCGGGGGTTCCGAGCACAGCGGACAGCAAGTCTTGGGACCGGGAAAGAAGAAGAAGGACATCATCAGCGACATGTTCAAATCGTGCCAGGAGCAGTCCCTTGCAGCGGAGCCGCCGAAAATGGGAGGGCAACAGAGGCCGAACACGTTCAGCGGTACCGGGTACAAATTAGGTCAAACTAGCTCCGACAGCGAAGGTAATTTCCGCACAGTCCTGTTGTTCTCGTCGTTGCGCTGACTTTAATGAACGCGACGATGGTTTACGTTTGCGTATACTCACGTTCTCGCTGTGTGTGTGTGTGTGTTGACACAGTGGTGATGGGAGCAAGCGCGGATCAGCAATCCTCGAGTGGTCTCATCACGCTGAAGCTGTGGAAGGATGGTTTCACCATAAACGACAGCGAAATCCGCTCGTACAATGAGCCGGAGAACAGGGAGTTCTTAGCCGCTGTGAAGAGAGGCGAGGTCCCGGCAGAGATCCGTCAGCAGGTGCAGGGCGCGGATCTGCGGCTTGATATGGAGGATCATCGTCATGAGACCTACGTCCCGACGAAGAACAAAGTGAAGGCCTTCTCGGGAAAGGGGCACATGCTGGGAAGGTAAGGCCGTAGAAACCTTACAACTCGCTCGTCGCCCGAGATCCGTTCTGATTTCTACATTTCATCGCCGTGACACTTGACTAATGTTTCAGCCCGTCGCCGGCTACCGTGGGTATGACAGTTCCAACGGATCCCGCCGACCAGGCTGCTAATGAAGCGCAGGCGAAGAAAGAATTGAACGTGGACGCTTCGAAACCGACCACGACGATACAAATTCGCCTCGTGGACGGGAGTACCGTGAAGGCTCAGTTCAATTTGACGCATACAATCAGTGATATTAGACGGTACATAGTAACGTATCCTTTGATCTATCAAAAGTCTTCTACGGCTCTGTCGCTCCGGAAAAAAAGGACTTTACTGCAAATATGATGAAAATAGATCTTTGTTGTTTCTCTTTTTTTTTTTATTTACTTCAACATTGGGTAAGGCGGAATCCCTTCGTAGTTGAGGTATAGTATCAATATCACCTGATGTTTCTATGTTTTCTGGCAAATAAGTGTGTTTTGTGGTAAATGTCCTTTCCAAATCGATGAATTCAGTGGAAAAGATTCGCCTTAACGAATAATACCAGTATGAGACCACAGTACGCTTTGAGGGAATTTAGCCTTTTAACTATGTATCCAACGAAGGAGCTCACCGAAGATAAGACGATCGAGGAAGCTGGTTTGCAAAGTTCGGCTATAATGCAACGACTGAAATAAAGCTTTTTTTCTAAATTTCCTTAGTTCGAAGAAAAAAAATGTAAGGGTCAGATATTTACCAAATATATGTTAAACCACTTGAAAATAAAGTTTCTATGTATTTTTATTAGGAGTATAATGCCTCTTTCATTATGTTTTCTTTCTTTTATTGTGCGCCAAGCGAGCTTAAGCTTTTCGCTATGTACTACCGTAAAATTGTTAAAGCCTAATGCAGTCTTGAATTTCATTCATTAATCATGAATGTGCTTTTGATAATTTCTATAATAAAAGTATCTCTTAAATATACATACAATTTTACATGTTACGATAAGTATCGAAGTAGTATCGAAACTTAAGGCTATTGGAAATAAGCAATTCTTTATTATAGCTTATAATCTAAAATGTACAAAATATTGAATTAGCTAATTTGTCTGGTATATATAATGAAGGCACCCTGTATGAAAGACTGTGTAAAGAATTATGAAATATTTGTAGCGTATGTACAAGAACCATGTGTGTGTGTGTGTGTGTGTGTGTGTGTGTGTGTGTGTGTGTGTGTGTGTGTGTGTGTGTGTGTGTGTGTGTGTGTGTGTGTGTGTGTGTGTGTGTGTGTGTGTGTGTGGCGCGCGCACGGGCGTGTGTGGTATGGTAAATAGAACATTATCTACAAATTCGTAGGACTATATTATCTCAGATGTGTGTCATTTCAGTTGCGCCGAGATCTATAATTTATACTTTTACATAGGGCATGTCGAATTCGCGATATTTCTTAAAGATCCACGAATTTTGCAGGTCTTCAACGAATCTGAACACCGTGCTGTCCTCCACAACTTTCATATTTCCGTCACAATGCTTATATTGATTAACGGAAATTAAATTCTGCCCTATCTGCGTGGTGCGTATTTCCCGACGACCTTGCAATTCGGCGTGTAACATCTCGTGCGGATGATATATGTAAACAAAATGATCCTTGGAAGCGATACCGGTCTTCGTCTTTTTGAACAACGTCAATGTAGAATTCACGTGCTTCTTATTGTCGGATTGCTGAGTGCAGAAGAATTTGGATTTTAGCCCGTAACGATCGGACGCGGATTCGGTTCTCCTGATGTCCGCTATCAAGTCGACCGTCGTGCGATGATACCTTGGAACTACGTATTCGTTCCACGAGAGAACAACGGAATAAGCGACATTGTTGTACGAGCGATACAAACAGTCCGCCACTGCGATCTCTCGCGCGATCGTCTCGTCGATCTCCGTAAATGGAAAGTTCCATGGTACGACAGTGTACGTGAACTTCTGGAAGGAAGATGGATCATTAGCCATCCTCTTCAGTCTGCTGTTAAATCTGTTCGGGATTCCATTATCATAGACGATGAAATTATTCATTCCGACCAATGCGTGAAAACTGACAAAGCCCATCATATCGATCGTGTTAGGTAGCATCGACTTCACCGACGACTGCATCACGCACACACTCGTTCTGCTATTATCGTCCAGATTCTGCGGCAGCGTTTTTATCGGAATAATAGGCGCGTAATTGAGGTATCTATTCGACTTAGTGACAAACGTTATTCCGGTGGCGGTCTCATTGCCGCTGTACCCGCAAACAAAATGATACCCTTTGTACATGAAATTTTGTACGGAATAGTAGTTCGAGGTGTAGTACTTACTGATGGGTACAAAGTTAAAATTTCCTAATATAGGCTTGCTCTCGCTCTCGAAGAAAACGAGGCATTGCATGTTAAAGACGCTGGTTATATTACCGACTCCAATCGCTCGTATTTCTTTGCGCGTCCGGTAATCAATACTGTACGCTGAGTATACGTACAGATCATTTTCCAAGCGTTGCCAGGAAGGGATCGGTTCGTCGAATTTCGAATTGAATGCGGTTAATGTTGAATCGAAGTTTACGCAACTGCCATTGGCTCCTCTCGGTTCGTACTTGCCGAAGTAATTGAAGACCTCCAGGACGTATCTCAGTTTGTAGTATTGATGCCTGTAGACGAGCAGGCATATGAGGCTTGTCACGGCTGTCACTACGAGGGCAGCTTGGTAATACTTCTTCATCCTGTTAATGTTTATCCCCGACTTTATACGATGTGCAAGTCTTTAAGAGTCAGGATGGATCTCTTGCATACAATGTATCTCGCAAATGTTATCTTGAAATAATGTGTAAAGGACATTCTGAAAACAAAACATGATGTTGATTAATCGGATAATATTTGCAATAGCCGGCATAGGTTAGTACAGAATTAGCATGAGTATGAATTAACGGATAATCTAGTAATTTTGATAACTTACTCAACCCTTTGCCAATTATACACAAAGAATTATGAGCACCCGGAAGAACGTACGGGTTATCTCGACGCCATGTTCAGAAACATGTGGCGCAGTGTAGCACGCAGGGTGCAGTAGGCGATCTTATCACAGAGTCCCCTATATATATATATATATATATATCTTTTATAGATCTTATATAGTTCGGTAAACATTAAAAAATTCACTTCTACATTGCTGTGCGAGCAGTTTAGAGATTCAAATACTTATTAGCTGTAATAATTTTTATGAATTTAAAATACATATTTTAAGGAAATTCTGGTTGAAAAGACGCGGGGGAAAATGAGGATCGGATACGAAAATCTAGTGATTTTTGTACAGATATTTAATATAATTAATTTTTATACAACTATTGACAAACGCACGCTTAAAAAATCTACACGATTGCATATTGCTGATACAACAGCTCCCGTACTTTGTAGTAGTCCTCAGAAATGCAACCTTCCAGTATCACCTTTCCAGCTTCATGCTGAAATAAATACAAAATACAATCTATACGATCAGACCGCAACAAGGCGACGGGGGGAGTTCGAGGAAATAAAGTTGGGAAGGTGCTGGGAATATGTGCCGCGCGAAATAATCCAATGATTATTACATAAGCAACACAAACCCTTCTAACAGCGATGGTGTTGTTGCAACACCACAGTACCCCTCCGCTGAATTCTGACGAGATGTTACTTTTGTTCAAGACTTGTTTAAAATCCGACAGCTTCAATTCGTTTATGAACGTTGTCTGGTGACCGGGAACCTGATAGTAAAATCACAATGCGATAAGATAATAAAATAACAATGCGTAAGATAAATAAGACGGACGACGTTTCTTAAGTTACATCGTTCCTCATTCACCGGTGAGTCGGTGCGCATCTTACCTCGTTCAGCGGCAGAGGCTCCAAAGTCAGTATTTTGTCGCTCTCATCCATTATCGCATCATCGGACTCGGTGTCAGCGACAGCGTCTCGGCAGACTTGATCACGCGCCGTTATCATCGCGTCTATCCACGCTACTTCGGAATCGCCTTTGCCCTTCGAGAAGTTCAGCCCGGTGACTAGAGCGTCGGTCAAACGTACCTGTAACGAAGAAGCGCGCGCACACTTTACATCACTTAATTTGCTCTTCGATCAATTTCGAATCGGCAGCTGATAACAATGCGATCGAGCATCACCTGATAAATGTGCGTCTCCGTCGTGGCGTCCAGCGTCTCTCCCCTGGCAGGAACGAACACCCTTGCACCTGCGCTCTGTGCTTGCTGCGCTAATATCTCCGTGTCCTTGAACGAGCCCCTAACTAAAACCACCCTCCTGGGTCTCAACTGTGCCAGGATTTTCTGCAGGGATTCCCCGTCGGATCTACCTTCAAAGTCGATGTAGGTTACCGCAGCGTTGACGGTCATCGTGCGCGACACCTGTATACACTTGGTCGGGATATCCGCGGCAATCTCCGGGTGATGGCTGGTTTCTTCCTGCTTCATCTCCACATTCTCCTTATTGTCCTCGATTTCGGGCAGGGTCTCCGCGATCTTGTAATCTTCCGGTCTGCGTAAAGTGCATAGCGAAATGAGAAGATCTGCACAAAGTATACAACTAGGCGCACGATCAGTTGTGGAAATCAATGAATTGATTGTGACGTGCGGATACATTTTGTGGTGTACCAGAAGTATCCTCACTTTATAATCTCTCCGTACTCGTCTATCTTAATCTTCTCCTCCACGAACGGGAACATGGGATGTTGCTTTTTACTTTGCTTGAAGAAGCCGGGCTTGCTCTCTTGCTTCACCAATAAATCGTGCTTCCCTCGGACACCGCCTACTTCTATCTCGTCTTCCGATTCGGAACTCACGTCTGCAATCTCCCTGCGATCAAACGCGTTACAAACTTCAGGTGAAGAAGTTATAGCTAAATAATAGGTAGATATATATATATGTGTGTGTATATACATTTGTTCCTGTTTCAATTGTTCTTGCTTTAATTTCTCCTTCTTCTGATATTCCTCCAGCTCGATACCCTCCAGCTTCACTCGTCTCTTTACCTCCAACGTGATGTTTCGGTTTCCACCTTTCTCCACCAGATCTCTAGCAAGAGTACCTGGAGACGTTCTACTTGTTAATATAATGCTGTTTTGCGGGTTAGTGCACCACTGGAGGAATAACTCTCGGGAAAATCCACACTCCATGTCTGGGGTGCTTGCGAGTACCACCTGAATGTAACATTCGGATCATCAATTTATACAAAAGAAATCTCGCACATTCGTGACACGACTTGAAAAAATTCCAATCTACCTTCGGGCTTGGAACTTGATTCAGCTCGGCCATGCTATGGCAAAGTTGCAGGTGTTTAAATTGGAACGGATTGTTGCGTGCACCTTCGAAGCTCCTCATTAATTTATCGCTCATCCACTCGATTTGCGACTTCGCAAATTCCACGACGTTATAACTTACATTGTTAAGGAGGGCCAATGAGTAAGCGAGTAACCCCGACTCCTTGTTGCGCCACAGCTGATCCAGCATATGCGCTAATTCTAATACACGGCCAGCGGTATCCACGCTGACCAATACATTGCCACCACCTCTCAACGTCTGCAAGATATTAGCTAAACGATGAAATTTACAAATAAATCACGTTAAAGCACGATTTTCTTGACCAGACACCAATGTTTAAACTGTAACAGGAAATATAAAACTTACTCATCAGCTTCTCGTCCCTCGTTCTTCGTCGGGCTTGCTGGTATGTGGCGTTAAATGCATCTGTTATTAACAATGACGGCCTTTGCAATCTCTCTAACTCGCAACCATTTAAATGCCGCTCCTTTTTGTGATTAAAGTCCACAGCATATATTATGTCCTCCTCTCCTACTTTGACAATTTTCCAGATTGTACCACCAATCATGTGTCCTGCTGGCAATGGTGTCAATGTAACACCGTAGCCTTTACCTTTCATCGATATGCTTTGATTGTATTTCAACTGTACTATCTTGTCGAATGCGGCATCAACATCGTCTAAGGTAAATAAATCAAAGTCTTCCATATTGTGGCGGGACTGAAATCAACATAATGTATCAAATATTATTGTTAATTTAAGACCAATATATTTACATTATTATATATGAAAAAAACTAGAAAGACTATACCTGGTACATGTCATACATAAACATTTGGCCCATTTTGTATACAGGTATGGTGGCGTAAATAGGACAATTCAGACCACACTTACCTACTAAGTATGGCAATGCACCCAGATGTAACGGATCTGGATATGAAAGTAATACTGCATCTATTTGATTGACATGTCTAGGAAACATGGTAATAAAGAAGTAAATATGTAAATGCTGAAACACATGTCATATTTATACAATGCAAAGACACTATACCTCTTCAATTCTTTTATAAAATCTTGATCAAAGTTCTCATCCCATCCGCAATCTAATAATATTCTCAACTCGTCAACTTGTAATATATAACAAGGTGGAGACTCATCCATTGCTCCAGAAATAGCGTGAAGTTTTATAATGGACGTCATATTGTTTCTCTACGATGTCTATTTCTGTTTTGCTATTTTTCCTTCCTTCCTTCCTTCCTTCTTTCTATTCTAGCGGCAGGCAGCCTGTCGGCGTTTTTCTGTTTTTCATGTTCTGTTAGTTTCTCAGTTATCGCTAGGACAACCTTAAGGCCCGTCTCCATCACCATCAGCTATTTCTATTTTTCAGTCAAGTTGCGGACGACCTTAAGGCTCGTTTCCTTTGCCATCAACTCGGTTGTAGGATATTAAGGCGGGTATGGTGATTTTCTTTTAGTTCTCCATAGTTCCATCCAGAGGCTAATATCCCTACAAGAAACGCCGCATATTATCGCATGTTATTTATCTCGTTCCTTTTCATCAACGGCCGAACTCGTTCGCGAGAAAGGCGTGATCAGTGGTGCCGCAAACGTCGCGTGTTTATGTTATCGTCGCTACAAACCGGTCGTATTGTGCGTGGAAGGGCTCTTCTCGGCGAAAGAAATCTCCAGAACTCCCAGCACGACAATGCCGGCACCGATACCGTGTATCATCGTACTTGGAATGGCTGGCTCTGGCAAAACAACATTTGTACAAAGGCTGGTGTCCAAATTGTACAATGATACAAAGCCTTATGTTATTAACTTAGATCCTGCCTGTAAAGATGTTCCGTACCCTGCTAACATAGGTGACTATAATATATAATATAATACAAGAATTATGTCATATCCGATATATTTAACTGATACAAAGAGGCTTTACTGCTTTTATTTCTCCTCTTCAGACATAAGAGACACTGTAAATTACAAAGAAGTAATGAAACAGTACAAACTCGGTCCAAACGGAGGCATAGTTACTACGTTGAATCTCTTCTCTACAAAATTTGACCAGGTGATAGAACTTATTGAGAAAGCCAGCGAAGAGCACAGTTATGTGATTTTGGACACACCAGGACAAATTGAAGTATTCACGTGGTCAGCCAGCGGCACAATTATAACAGAAGGATTAGCTTCTCAATTTCCAACTATTATCGTGTATATAGTGGACAGTGTGAGAAGTGTCACCCCAGTCACGTTTATGTCCAACATGCTATATGCCTGTTCTATACTTTATAAAACCAAATTGCCATTTATCGTAGTCATGAACAAGGTAATTAGACTTGAGCAATTATGTGTATTTATAATATATATGTATAAATTTCTAACTATATACAATCAATTGATTGCAAAAATAATGTAAAATAATGTAAATGTATTTCAGACCGATGTTGTTGATCATCATTATGCGCTCGAATGGATGCATGATTTTGAAGCCTTCCAGGAAGCGCTCGACATGGAAAGCTCTTACGTCAGCAACTTAACACGCAGCATGTCGCTCACACTTGATGAGTTTTATAAAGATTTGCAATGCTGTGGCGTCTCCGCGGTAACAGGCGCTGGATTTGATGATTTTCTCGAGCTAGTTAAAGATGCCATAAAGGAGTATGAGAGGTAAGAATTGCTGTTTATGTCGAAAGCATATTGTTATGTTCATTAATGATAATACATTGTTCCATTTCCTCGCGACACAAACGTCAGTACACGTTATTATTACTTTTTTTCTTAAAGTGATTACAGAAAAGATTTCGAAAAAATGAAGAAAATGAGGGAGGCTGAACGAAAAAAAACGAAGGATGAAGAGTTAGAGAAAGCTGGTAAAAAAGTAGTAGGTGAGGATGTGCCTTTTGTAACGACAACCAACACTGGTTGTGAAATCTTAGAAATCTACTTAAAACATCCGGGTAATGAGTCGAGCGAAGATGAAGAGGGGACGGAGGACACAGACAGGCGAAGGGAAGAGGGCGAAAAGAAAGAAGAAGACTCTTTTGCAGATTTCCTCAAGAGGCGTAATATGGAACAGAATGAACGAGAGAGCAAACGACAGTCTGGCCCTAGTACAAGTAAAAATTAACGGTAACTTTGATTCAATGTACATAAATTTTTGTGTGTAAATTAATGAATTTAAAAAATATGACTCTTTCCTCACATTAATATGTCTAGTTTACGTAAAACATGAAAGATTTCTTAATCACCGGTCTGTTGTGGAAAAAGAAATATTTATTCAAGCTCTGTAAAGCTAAAACTATTCGTACCACTTTGTAGAGCATAAATCAAGTTATATTTACACAGAGATTGTCTTCTTTATATTCGCTGTTTTACATATCGTAGTCATAATAATTTTCCAACTAATCTCAGAACCCAATATTATAGATTCTTTTTGATGTACTAAGTCGGTCGTATGATATTAAACTAATATTACATTATTCAACGGAATATACAATTCAACAAATAAAATATTGCATAATTAACAACTTCGACACATCTTTGCATTGACAGATTGTCAACAACGTGAATACCGCCTGAGAAAGCACGGTGACCAATAATTCCAAGATGACTTCAACGATTGTTTCGAACTATAGGCCTTATTTATCCATCGCAGCAACACGCCAAGTTGAGACCATTTTACGTTCGAACAATGCATCGGTTGAAGAAGGAAGTGTTGAATGTTTCGCGCTCTTCTCTATAGTAGAACTCCAATTTGAAACCCTCTCGAATTCGGCGTCCTGCAAATCTGCAACTGACACGTACACGATTTTTAATATTGCAACATCGTTAACGTTGTCAAAGTCTGTAACAAAGTTTACCTCAAGTCTAACGCTGATGTAATTACGTTTGTTGAATCTATCAAAATATCAATGTACAAAACAATGTATCGACGATTTAAATTATACTGTGATTGTTGTATGCCTAACAGGATTAAGTAGGATAAGAAGAATGAATCGCTCTAACAAGTTCAGGTCAGATTCCTATGGAAAAAGGCCTGAACCGGTTTCTAAATCAATCAATTTAGTGAGATTAGTTTTCTTTTAAATCCGCTCATTAAACATAATATGAAACAACATTTCGTCGCGACGTTATTTCTGTTGCTCGTATACAATGTTCATGATTACAGATGACCTTTAATTATTGCATCAAGTAAGTTCAAATTTGTATCAGACTGATTGTAAGAGATGTCTTGTCGTCTGACTGTTATATTAATAATTAATAAATAAAAAAACAAGATGAACGACCTTATTAATCAATATGATATGCAGCAGGTAATTAAGTAGCCTAATAGTCTTAAATAACCAGTGTTTTTTTATTACACCTTTATCCTGGGAGTCTAGATTATAATTCTTCACTACTGTCAATTTTTCTTCCTGTTTCCGTCGATATTCCTGAGTAATCTGCTCCAAAGTTTTAGTTAAAGCCAACTGTTGAGAATTTATTAATCTGAATTACATAATTTTATATATATATATATATATATACATATATAACAATTGTATTTATATGACCATAAATACACATAAAATTATATTCTTATTATTTCTTAATATATATTAATATTATACAAATATTTCGCATTAATAAATTAATGGTGCGGCGAAAGTGAGAGAAATAGGAAGATATCACAGCAATACCTGGCACATCTTCAGGCGGGAGACGCAGTTGGCCTCCATTCCCGGGCCGTCCTCTGCACTTTTGGCAGCGTCGTGTTGAAAGCACTTGCCCTTGCCGCCGCTGGCCTTCCGGCAGACCCTGGACAGCAGGTCCGCGCGATCGGCGCGGAAGCTGTCGTGCAGGAACTCGTGGACGTGCGGATTGTGGCTGTTGCAGATCGGGTCGCGGCTTTGGGCGTACGTCACTTTGCGGAAGCCGTAGAGATTCAGCTGCCTGATGAAGCTCGTGATGTTGGTGGTCTTGAAGATGGGCCGTCGCGCGTCCAAATACTCCGTCTGGAATCTCTTGTAATCGAGCAGTATCGTGTCGCCGTTCGCGCCCCACCGGATCGCCCCGCTCTTGCACTCGTTCACGATCCTCCAGAGCTTCTGCGGGAATCGCATCGATTGCAGCACGCAGTCCTCGTACATCTTCCTCGTCGTCGTCCTTGTCTCGTGGTTACGGTGGCAACCAACGTCCGCCAAGAAGAGCTCGTCCAGTTCGAAGGTTTCGGGAACGTTTCGAACGCGTCTCGCCGCAACCGACGCTCGATCCTGTCTCGAAACAAGCAAATCACCTTCGGCTTCAAGAGACCGTTGTCGTGTCGACGATGACAATAATCCCGGCGATTCGCCGGTAAAGGATGCAAACGCTGGCCAGGAGCACCTGATGGTTCGTGCCGCATCCAAGAATTCTTCACTGTGATTCCTGCTGCCCGATGCTGAATTGTTCCTGCCTTCGCGCCCCCGTCCCCGTCCTATCCTACGCGCTTCGTAAGTCAGCGTTACGAAAAAATTCATTCGGTGCCGATTGGTGCCTGTGGCAGCTCCGTTTCCATGGAACCGGAATTTGGCGTGTGTAAATCGCGACTTATTCACATTGCTGCGCACTTCACGCGTAGGCTCGCCGCGATTCATACAGCACACTTCATCCGATAGACGTCCTCTAAGCGTCCTTAGGGCGTCCCTTGGATGTCCCTGTGCTACATGGGTTCATATCGGCGAGATTTTGAATCGGTCAACAGCCGTTTGTGACGTTTCTCACGTATCTCTTCGCGCGTTTGTCGGACATTCGAGGTGAGTGTGTGCGATACGTTATTATAAATGTAATATTTATAATTACGTTTACAATGTTCTAAATATGCGATGCAAAATGTAAATGTTATAAGTGTAATTGTAAATGTGGTGGTAAACGAGATCTCTCTCTCTTATTTCACTTTCGTCGATCTGTTCCGACAGATTTCAAGCCGCAGCGAGGGAAGGGGAGGTACGGTGAAACGATTGGGTTTTGTTAACACTTTTAATGGAAATTACAGTTACAATACTATTAATATTACAGTTACCGTACTAGAAACGATAACGTACGCGTAAACGAATAAGTTTCAGGATGCAACCTACTCGCACTTCTTTCAAGTTACACTTTGTCAATTTTGCAAGGTCGCAGGTATAACGGCGGACACGAAGGTCTCGTGTGTGCGCGTCCATCAATTTACTTGGAGAATTTACCAAATTATCCGAATTAAGACACATTTTTGAAATACCATTATAAAATACTTGTAAAATAATTCTAATATAAGGACGACCATTAATACCATTTCATGGATTGTAAGAGTTTAGCGTTCCAAGCGTTCGTACATTACTGATACGACAGGTATGCGTTTACGTTCGTTGTGAAACTTAACGAAATTCGACCGTTGTCACGAAGATCCGAGTAGCGTAAGTATATGTTTGTACCATGATAGTTCCGAGGTTCCCAGTCTGTTAGCCGATCAACTAATCGCGTTGATCGCGCATGATCAACTGATTAAAAAACTAAACACTCCGGAACCGTCCGGATAGAACGGAACGTTGCGATAAATCGCAAAAAAAAGCTATCAAAGTGACGTCATAAAAACTCATTTTTTCGGCCACTCTCTCATTGTTTCGACGACGTCATTCTCATTTGCCGTTCTACCTGGGCAGTTTTCTTCTCGCACGCCAGTTCAGGACTCTTAACAAATTGGATTGCAACCGTTAGACACGGGGAAGTCGGCTCTGAATACTACATCGATAAGCATCCGCCGAGGGGAAATTTGGCTTTATCTTTCGAACGGATTATCGGAGCGTGTCTATTATTATTCCTCGCGAAATAACGCGATGAGACGAGAGAGAGAGAGAGAGAGAGAGGGGGGTCTACGTGCCTCATATTTTTAACTCTTCAGCTGACGGTGGGTGTACAGTGAAACGAGACTTCACAATATCACGAGTGTACCGACTTACCTCGCTCGCAGGGAGTTCGATTCGTTTCGGTTTGTCCCGCACGCGTGTATCGCGCGCACCGTTTCATACGCGCTCGCTTCAGGAGTCAAAGTACACGCACGGTTTCGTTGTCGCACGTCATCCCCGTCATTCGGACAGGGCCGGAAGGGTTTGCAGATACTCATGGGGGACCGCCGGGGCGGGAAGCAAGTAACCGTCCGGATCCAAGACGTCCGGAGTGCGTATCGTAACTGGACCTTGCGGCGGTCTGGGCAGGGTGCTGCCTTGCTGCATCAGTTTGCCATGCGCCTTCTCCAGCCTTTCCAGAATATCGGGGAATCTGATTCGGTCCTGCGGCTTGCTCTGCCAGCAGTCGCGCATTATCTCGCAAACGAGGGGCGGGCACTCGTCCGGCGGTGTCAGGACGATCCCTTGTCGTATGAGCTTCAGAACCTGGAGTGAAAACGCGTCTCTGTTGCAGGACGGACCGACCGAGAGGGAATCGCGGTATCGATCGCTCACCTCTTCGTTGCTATGGCCGTAGTAAGGTATCTTGCCGAAGGAGAAGACCTCCCAGAGGACGACGCCGAAACTCCAGACGTCGGTCTCCAGGGTGAAGCGCCCGTACATCACGCTCTCCGGCGACATCCACCGAACCGGCAACAAACGCGTCCCTCCGATCTGAGATGCACCGGGGAGAGGTTTCGCGCGAGGTCAGTGCGAATTTTCGCAAACTCTTATCCGGACTGTCACACCGAGAGAAATTACTTGGAAATTTACTTCCGGGATGTGTAAAGCTTGTTTCACGGACACTTCCATGAAATCAACCTTTATACATTGGAGAGGAATTTTTATGTATTTTATTTGAGTATTTTCTCTCAGTATACGGCCGCGAGAGGTCACGCGGAGATCGTCCCGTGGACGAGTTTACCTTGTAATAGTCGCACGTGTAGACGTCTCGCGACATGCCGAAATCGGCGATCTTCACGATCAGGTCCGAGCCGACCAGGCAATTTCGGCACGCCAGATCGCGATGCACGAATCGCTGCGCCGACAGGTAAGTCATGCCGGCTGCGACCTGAATCGATATCCAGTGTAGGGAATCCTGTAAGGCAGTGAAGAGACAGGGAGATTATTTTTCTCGATGTTATGACGTGGCAGCTCGAAGCGCCCGTCACAAGGCCGGTTGCCTCCGAAAAGGCCCTATCGCGGGTAGGCGGGTGGCGCGCTCCCCGGGAGCGCATATTTAAAATGGAGAATTTTTTTTATGTTTATGATACAGCGGAGACCGCGCGCCGCGGGCGCGCAGGGATTGTCGAGGCGAGCCCCGCGTCCCCTTCACGTGTATAGCGCCGCTGCGGATAACGGCGAGAAACGGACGGGGTACGAACCGCCGGGTGGAGGAGCAGAGGCCGCCCGAACATACCGTCGGGCCCCAGTGGACTCTGATCTTTTGGCGGCTATCGAGGAACCGGCACCGCCTAGGCTGTCGTGTTCCGTCCCCTCTGCAGCGGTAAAGCCGGCGGGCCGAGGTCGCGCACAAGGGCGAGCCAAAGTCAGGAGCGGCATCGCGCCGAGTCACCGTGGCCGGAGGTGAGGCGGCGGGCTAGGAGGCGAATCGGTAACCGCCGGCAAAAATCCGGCTGTCGAAGAGGGGAGGACTTCGGGACCACGAAAGAGAGGGGGGGGGAAGACCTGCTTAAAATCAGCAGACTTCCCGGCGGAAGCAGATTTTCGGCTCGAGAAAGGAAATCATTAACGCTTGATGAACCGCGTAAGTTAGTGGCGAGTGAGCGAGAGTGAGAGAGACAGAGCTACCGTGGGAGCAGAGAGAGAGAGAGAGACAGAGAGCGAGCCGGAGCCCGGTTAAGGAGAGAGCAAGAGAGAGAGAGAGAGATAGAGAGAAAGGACGAGCATCCCTAAGAGCCAGCCGCCAGGAGCCCGATTCTGTAAGGCCGCCCATCCGCATTCATTGTAAACAAATATCGCGTGGGTCGTCCGTTCGGTCGACCGCCGTGTAGTCCTCCCGACGGATTTGGGGGAAGAAGGCGATAACGCCGAATTAAATACTATCCCTCGGTGGCTGCGTCGGGGTCGTACCGGAGGATCGCCCCCGCGGGTGTAGCGTATCGTGCCGTTCCCTCCATCTTGGCTCGGCGGCCGCTCGAAAAGCCAGCCACCCTACTAGCGGACATCGTGAGTCCGCCGCGGTCCGGACAGAATGAAAAATTGTATATCGTGAGGCGCTACCGCGTGAGCGCAGTCTGTTATCGAAACCATCGTGCCGAATAAAGGCGTACGCTGCATTATCGAAACCGCTGGTCTGTAATTTCTTTAGTCGATCCCGGCGTGACCCTACGAACCATCCCGCCTCCGACTTAACCCATCCAGGAGCTACCGGTCCCGTTCGGGACGAATTCGGGTCGCGGGTCCGAAGTGCGGACAGCTTCGCCGACCACGTAGGCTTTCGTTTCGTGGCGCACCTGTGCGCACCTGCGCGCCCATTCTGTGGAGGAGTAGGTCACCGGTGACCAGAAGTCAATCTCGCGTTCCGGGTTCGCCCTGCGGTGTCTTTGCATCGGCGATTCGGACGAACCGAATCTGAAAATCCGGTCGCAATGTAAACTCGTTCGTGCCTTTAAACGCGAAACACGGTATCGCAAGAAAGTCGCCGATCGCGACACGGTACCATCGTTAACGACTGCAGTCCGCAGTTCGGTGACCTCAACTGCCGTGAGTTCGCTCGCAGCACTTTGGCGAGGTCGCCGTGCGGCATGTACTCGAACACCATGCACGGGCTGCTGGCGGCGTCTCGAAGCACCACCCCCTTCAGCGACAAGATGTTCGTATGACTGAACGTGGACATGATGTCCACTTCTCGCATAAAGTCCTCCTCGGTTTCGCGCGTCGCGGTATCCTTCAGCACCTTCACCGCGACGATCTCCTTCGTGTCTCCATTGTGCCATTCACCTGTCAAAGTTTTATCGCAAAACATAAGCCAACGTCTCCTCAAACCGACAAGTGAAGCTAAACGAACTCGATCGGACGATTCAATTTATTCGTACCTTTGTAAACCTTGCCGAAGCATCCTTCGCCGATGTCGTCCAGGAAGGCGAGAGTGTCGCGTTGTATGATCGAGACTTCCGGCGAGGTGCAGTTGAAGTATTGAGGATTCGGTGTGTATTTGTTCGGTAATAACAGTCCTTTCTTCAGGTTGATCGGGGTGCCCTGGAGAAGAAACGACGATGACGGGATGGTAATTTATAGGGTCGTATAAATTCATGCTTATTTTCGATTAAGTTACAAGTTAAAAATTAATGGCCCATAATATTAATTTAGTTAAAAGTTACCTAAACAAGAACCTTAGGATATAAGAAATAAATCGAAAAATTACGACANGGGGGGGGGGGGAGGGGAGACGCTTTCAAAAATATTCCCTCAATTTTTGTCCTAGGAAGGACCAGTCTTCATGTAGATAATATCTTAAGGTGAATGTTATCTCGATGATAGATTACTCACATCCAAAGAATTTCTCTGCGACTTGACGCTGTAAGTTCGTCTTCTCACGCAGTACACGATACCCAATATAATCATAATTACCACGGCGAAAGCTACAGCTATCCCTATTATTTCAGGTACTTTGGGCCTCAAGATAGATCCTTCTACCTGTCGTGAGAATTATGATCGATTCTGTTACATAAAGATTTGAATTGGATCGGACGGAATTTTAATTCATATCTTTTCAAATGAGCTTACGTCTCTAACAGATCTAAATACTAGGGCAAATTTTATTGACTCCGGCCGTAAGTAACTCTTGTATATTTTTCTTACTACAAATTTCTTTTCTTTTATGATTCGACCCGGTAATTATGGATAAATAAGGATGATACCTCTTCGGCCTCCGGGAGCTCAGTCGTACTGTTTGGATTATAGCTACTTGGTGGTATTATGTTATGTATAGGACGAGGCGTCGCAGGAACTGTGAAAAAAATGTTGCGTTATTTTTCATACGTACATTAAACAGCATTGATATATTCCAGCTTGCAGGTCCACTCAACCGTGGACTATTTGCAAATATTCGTCATGTCTTTACCGATTGATCGTATCGGACATTTCAAGTCCACTGTAGGTAGGGACAAATCGTGAGGGCAGATGCACTCCGATGTGTTGCCTTTGATGCGGCAAGCTGCATCCTCTCCGCATATATCCGGATCATCCTTGCAACCTTTGATCTCGATGAATTTGAGAGGTTGCATTGACCTGCTGTTGAACGACTGCTGTTGGGCGTATTCGCTCAGCGACAATTCTGCAATAATATCGTGATTTCACATGTTGATGCCTGGACCGCGGATTTCAAGTTTCATTTGATCGACAGCAAAGCAGGTGAACTCCGCGGGGGTTCACAATGCTTTAATTGCGCGTCGCATCGCCGTCGATCGCCGGAGAACAAATATTCGCGCGAGGAACATTCATTCTTCATTCTGACGTGACGTGAAAGGTAACTCGCGCGCGACACGTTTCATTTTCCACGGGCTCGCGATACGATCAAGATTACGTTTCTCTTTCGTGGGCGTAATCCTTTCGCTTAAGGAAGCGAGGGACGTAATATCACAATGGTCGTAATCTACGTATCTTTTGTCTCCCGCCGAAAAACAGTCGAGAGCAGATACTCTTAACGAATAAGGGACAATAATATCTCCCCACTCTGAGTGACAACCTTCAAACCATAAAAAAAGAAAAGATGGTTATTCGCAAGGAAATATGTAGCAATTTTCAAAAGATTATCATATATTTCAGGTAGAGAAGTGTTTCCGATTTTGCGCCCGTGGGCATAAATTTTAATCGCACACCTCATCAACAAGGTGCTGTTTGTAACCCGAAAACAAAATAACATATCGGTTTTGGCGCGTTTCCTCTATATACGGCGTGTACAATTGAGAAGCTGCGGCAACGCACATATACGTCGTACGCAGCGAAAGGCTTAGAGCGAAAAAATCACGCATAAATGTGGAAAAAAAGAATGCAACGTTCCGCGTTTTCAACGAGCGAGCGGTTTCGCGGCGGACTCTGCGCGCCGGCGGCCCCGACGCGCCGTCGGAGTAAAGAGAGACGCTCTCGGATTCGCAGGACCGTCGCAAACGGGCTGTAAAGGGCAGCCAGGGAGGAAAAAGGGCTACATATTTGGATTGGGCACAGGAAGATAGAGACAGTGAAGGCATTCATTTGGTACTTGGAGTTTGTAACGGGTCAAAGCGTTATCTCCGCGGTCAGCGCTCCCCGACAACGAGTCTCGCTATGTGTACCTATTATCGCCCCGTATTCCTTCGCCTTCCAAAGCATCTCCGCGAGATTTCCCGTATTTACGAGATCGTCCGTTTCTACGATGAGCTCCACGAGGCGACGACGACGACACGTCACCGTGGCAGTCGTTTCCCGGTGCGTCGATGAAACGCACAACGCCTGCGCCTCGAGCAGTCCCGCAACCGTGCGAGGACGAGAACGTGCGAGATCACCAGCGAGGTGCGATCATCCTCTTCATCGTGACACGCGGTACACGTCGGAGTGTACCGTGCGTTTCGAGAGGAGGCCTTTCCGGATACCGCGACGCTGATCGCGACGGTGATCGATTCTCGCGATTCGTTATTCTCGCATGCCGGCGATACCGCCGCTTCTACACCGCAATCAATTATGCCGCCGCGAGTATCGCGATTTTCACATTTACGCTATATTATTACTGACCTCTGATCTCTGCCATTATACGCGCGGCATAGAAACCATTATTGGCTCCGCCGACTGACCCTCGATAGCACGAGTAACGCGTAGTAGAGCCAGCCGGGGAATGATTGTTTTAGTTGATACCTCTTGAGTGTGAGGGACACTCGCGCGAGAATCCGAGCAATTATGATATAACGCGATATAACCGCGAAATCATGCGAGAATGCCGTGATGATTTTTCCGAATTGCTAAACGCGGAGAGCGCATTTTCGCCCTTTCCAACGTGCGAAAAGCGCGAACGCTCCGGCGAGGTTTCGACCGAGGAGCAATCGTTTTGGCAGGGGGGAGGGGACTCGCGTTAAAATTAAGACAAGGAGTCCCGGGACGCGTGGTGCGTAAATATTTAATTCGAACGCTTCGAGCCAGCCGTGAGATATCTCGCCGGCGATGGCCGTTTCGCCAAGACTGAGACGGGTGCTTTTCGTTTGGTAAAAAAAGCAACAGATGGTCGCGACATTCGATCCTAATTGAATCGGACATATCGCCGATTCGATTGTTTTCGTTGGTTGATGGTAAATTTGGAAAGTTCAATGCGGGATCACGTGCGCCGCGAGGCGCGCGTTTATTTGCAAAATCCGAGCTTTAGGCCAAAGGCTACAATGGGAGCATTATGTGCGCGGGCGCCTCATCCCGCCTAAACCGTGCGATTCATGAAGGGACCGAGAAAGAAAGAGAGAAAGAGAGAGAGAGAGAGAGAGAGATCGATAAATCACGAGATGTTAGCGAAACAATATGTAGATACCAAATACAGTAGACCACCTTGTGACATGAGGGATACGTTTCGCGTTATACAAACTCAATGGGTTATATAAAAATACATTTATGTATAAATATAAATATATTTATGTATGAAAAATATAAATGTGTCTTTAACGTTACAATATTTTAGATTCTTTTACTTTATATGTAAATATCAACGTAATTATGCGAGAGCAACTCTCTCAGAAGAGGTGTTAAAAAAAGAAGCGGAGAGAATTGAACGGGCTGTGTAGAAAGAAAGCGCTGAATAAATGATTCAAGTAAATAATCACTCTAATAATCCTTAGCAAATTTTTACTTGAATTAAGTAAATATTACTGTAGCGCTTTTTCTACATTCGAATAATATTTACTTGATCCGAATAAAAATTTGCTAATGACGCGGCGACGTGTTGTCACGTTGTAATTTTGCCATTCGCTTTGTACAAATTCACATTATATGAGTATCACGTTTACGAGAATCTACTGTTTATACCGAGAGACCGGATTTTTGTGCGACTATTATTAGTAACACTTATTTTGTTTCGTTTTGTTGAAGAGTCCAAGCATTCGTAAGTATGGAAAATACCAGGTTTTGGGCTGGTCGCAAGTAAAATGCCGCGGAAATATACCGCTGGCAAATGCTTAAAATTGACAGAAAAACGGACAGAAAATCGCTTCTGGAATAACCATCAGTCAAACAACGTATGTTGGTGAAAATTGAAATAGAACAAATTAGCTACTTCGGACACATAATGAGAAAAGGTCGAAAAATATCTTGGTAAACTGATGGTTCAAGAAGAAACAGAAGATAAAAGGGACACGCAGACAGTCTTCAATGAGTTAGGTAAATGACATCATTGCCACAGGGAGGCCAATTCATTTATCAACAATAAGATAGAGGATATTTAGGATAGAGAAGAATACGGGGTTATGTTAAAAAGAATGAGACTATGGTCGCCATATTTCCAAATGGAAATTAGTACTAATTAGAATCGTTGATAGCGCGGCAGAGATGCTATATTTAAATCCGAGAAGAAATTCTTCCGACGTTTATTATTGTGTCGTTATCGTCTTGAACTTCGAACTTCTCGAAAGGTCGGAGGTATCGATATTTCAGATAACGGTAGCGGAGCAAAAAAAAACCGGTCTCTCGCTTTTCCGAATAGAAAAGAACGTCCGACATGCGCTCCTAACGTAACTCGATCGAACCGTTAACCTCGCTGACTGATTAACTTTACGTTTTTTTCTCATCGGTGATAAGTTTCCCCGTTTTTACGCGTCTGAAACGTTATCATTTCGTAAAGCATCTCGTCTCAGTCCTTATCACTTCAGCAATTTCTTATCTCGTGTATATAAATGATGAATATAATTTGTGAAGTAATGATATTTGTCGTTATCGCCCTGGTGAGGGATTCACGATACATAATACGCACAAATTACTACGATCTAATTAAATTCTACTCAAATTAGACGACTCTCGATCGTTCCGCGAACCTATTAACCTAATGAGAGAGGGGAACAAGTCGCCGTGTGTATTCGGATTCCGTGAAAGAATCTCCGAGAATCCCCAGCGCGAATCTACGACGCGTCCGTCAAAACAAGAGTCTCGGAAGTAATAATTCGGTCGCGCAACGGGGGGAGTCAAAGAGAGATTACACATTTCTCGTCGATCTCTTCGCGAGCATTAGGAGACCGCGGGAGAACCGACGAGGAAACAAATCGATCGGAATGTTTATCTACGCTTCTCGACGGGAACGTCTCTCTCACCTGTTCGCGTCCTCAGGGAAAGTGGATCTCTCCTTCTCGGTATTCTTCGTTGCGACATCGCGCGCGTGCTCGTGAATAAACAGCCGGTGAACGGAACCACCCTCAAGGGGGGCCCGGAGAGGGAACAATTCTCCGCACTTTGTTACACTTTACACACGCTTTCTTTCTCTCGCTACGAGGTGTCAATTACCATCGACGCGCTAATTGCATCGGTATTACCTCTAGCGAGAGCAAGGGGAGAAGGGGGAGGAGAGCTCGGCATGGTTACCCCGTCGACGAGAAGCACGGACCTCGGACATCTCGAGCGAGGTCTTATCGAAATCCCGAATTGCCTTGGACGATTGCCCCGGTTGTCGTCGCAAAACGACGATAAAAGCACCTCCGTGTCGCGTGTTATCACGTGTGACCAGCGCGGACAGATCGGATTTCTTCCTCACACCGTCATCCTTCCTGGCGATTTCCGGTTCTCAGATCCGCGAAACGTCGGTCCCGGATCTCTCGGCGGATCTCCGTCGCGAGTCCCAGCGATCTATCCCGCAACAACACCGACTCATACTGCCTCCCCGGCTGGAGAACGGAAGTCTTTCGAGCACGCCCTTGAGGATAACGACGTTGTAGGTGGGTGTTAAAGCCTTTAAGCCGGAAGCCGAAACCTTGTAGCCGCTCCGGGGTGACCCGGTGAGGTACTATGCGGCGGCGTGTGTAGGAGGAGACGGAGAGTGAGTGAGATGTATTCTCACTTCGATGAATGCTTAACCGAAACTGAAGACCGCCTTCGAGACTCCCTCGCTTCGCTACTCGCACGAAGCATCAGCGATCGCGCGCGTACGTGTATTGTGCGTTCGTACACAGCCGCGCTACATGTGCGATTGTGTGCGCATGCATATACACGGCGGGGATTTACGCATACGAGAGTTTAACTCGGAGTTCATCATCGCTCGTCTGCTCGACTTACGCTGTCGCCGATGAGAAAAAGGAAGAAGAAGGGAGCCAACGGGGAATATAAGTCCTGTGAATCTCCGTATTTGTTAAGGGCGGGCTCGTGTTTTCGCCCGGAGCTGCCGCAATCCGTGTCCACCTGCGTGCAAAGAAATGATTCAGTAGTGTCTGATAAATCTTATTAACTAGTTTGAACTGTGTTGTCATCGCTAAAAGAGTTGGCTTAATTAGAAGTAAGATGCATTTTTTGCGAAGTTCAATTTTTTTCGCTGAAATCATTAGCATGATTAACTAGGGTTGGTTATATATATATATATATATATATATATATATATATTGCTGTGTTCTCTTATTAGTTGGTTACACTCGGAGTTGGGTAACAAGTAGTTATTCAGTTGAAAGTTAAGTTAAAAGATTAGTAACTTCTAACTTAACTTAGTTAATTTTAAATGAATTAACTTTTAACTTAAACTAGATCATTTAAAATGTATTAATCCATCAATATTTAAGAGTGTTTTTTAAAAACAATATAGCATATTATACAATACAATATAGCAAAGTCAAGTAAATTGCTAAATTTTAGGTAAAATCAGTATACACCTCAAAGATAGCTTCTATTTAAAAAAATAAATAAATTTTTAACCGAGAGTGTGAATATGATTTTAGTACTATTGTGCAATTCAGCTAGTATTTTTTTCGATAGAGTTTTCAACGCAGCTAATAAATTTAGCTATGATAGCCACAACATCAGCTGTCTCTATTTCAAAGTACATACGTAACTGTCACAGCCATATTTTAATTCTTCCGCTACAGCTTCCGCAAAAATCTTGGACGATCGCACGTTTCACGCACGATTTCGGGGACTCCGGGAAAAACGCGAGATAATTTATCTGAAGGAGGTAATAAAATCGTTCGTGCGGTTGAGCACGAAGCGGTTGATGCACGCGGCGTCCTATCAATGCGTTCGCGTTGCCCGTACGACGTTATCAACGACTTATCGTTTATTTCTTCTCAACGCAACAATATAAGCAGATATCTCCCGTTCGCTTTTCCATTTTTTTTTTTTTCGAAATTCGAGAGGAGAATACACCTATGTCACGACTGAGTCAGATCCTTATCCCGTAATCGGGATCGTAATCGTCGTGATCGACGCTTTTTAATCCAAAGGTTCAACGTCAGTGGCTTACGTGAGCGAGTTGGATCATCGGGACGCACGTCAATGGGAAATTACGCCGCGGCTTCGAGATCTCGTTTATCCTCGCGACTTTTCTCCACGGAATTTGCATTTCGATGATCGAGCTCTTATTCTTCTGCGAAGATGAACAAAGCCAGCATTTTTTTCTCGGCTCGAGTATGTGTGTGTTTATGGACGGAATATTTGCAAGACTTGTTCCCAATGAGTTTCATAACGCGCTTCCTGTTTAATAGGCAGAAAATCTATCTTCCGAAAATGACTAAAAACAAGTTCTCTTATTGGACACGTGTTGTGAAATTCATTGTGAAGAAGTATTGGAATTATTCCGTTTTACGACTATGTATACTTAGGAGGAGAAAAATGCTTATTCAAGTAAATAATTACTCTAATACTTCTTAGCAAATTTGTACTCGGATTAAGTAAATTTTACTAGAATCAGGTAAATCTATTTTACTTGGGTAATTTATTTGGAAAATATTTCACTCGGATCAAATAATATTTATTCTTTTATTTTTCTATTTGCATTCGTAAAGTCTATTCATTAAAATCAGAAAATCCTTTATTCTGGGGGAACTTTTTGTTACAGCTTATTTTTAAATACGAATAAATACAAATTAACGAAAATTATATTAATTATTAACTTTAAATATTTATCTTTCAATTGATTAAGGCAGCTTATGTGTTTTTGCGTATATATTGCACAATCCGTCGTTCGATACATTTCGATATCGATACGTGACTCATCCAACAATTCTTCTATTGGTAATTCATTGCATTTACACAGTGACCCATTTTAGCGAGCGTTCAGCAAGCATTATAATTAACAATAGTCATTAAAATAACAACGAACAGTGTTCACTGTTGAAAAGTTAGATCGACGTAAGAGTTTAATCTCTAAATGCAATCTTTCCGTAAAAATAACAGTATTAGAATATCAAGTAAATTTATAATGCTTCAAGAATATTATTTGCAATATTCCGGCGAAATACTGCAATTACACGTCTCTGCGATATTACATTGCAATTTGCAATGTTGCAAGTCTGTGCGACATAACTGCAAGCTTCTATATGGGCTATATGGGCTTATTTCCTCCATTGAGTCGCGGTAAGTCGCGTAAATGAAAAATTCGATGTTCGCTATCGCGATCAGCTTGATACATTATTGCCTAACGAAGCACCGCCTCCACTCCCTTTTACTCTCGGAGAACAACTCGACTTTTCAGCTTCCAATCATGATAAACAAGTCGACTCGGGCTCACGAGACACGACCGTTCGTATAGAAGTCGTGTGTGCGCGCGCGCGCGCACGCGCGCTGAATGCGTATTTGTGTCCCTCGATAAATGCGCGTCTACTGAATGCATATACGCGTTCGTTCCGAAACTCGTAATTGCATTCAACGTCGATGTAGCGTACCTCCAAGTAGCGATCGCGAAGAAAAGTCACTGTTGTCAGCGAATTATCGTCCCGCGCGTGCAGCAATAACGGGGACGCGAACGTCAAAATCCGAGAGCGATTCACAAACAAGATCCTCCGGCGTTTCTATCTTCGTGATAAAGGGAAGCTAATTGTTTACAATTTTAGGCGACCTTGAAGCAGCGATCTCTGATCGAACTGCACGGAGGTCTAACTGCGCCTTGAAAAGTCCGACCGCCTCGGTCGGAGAATTAATAAAGCTCTCGCTTGGATTGAAGGCTTATCGGTACGCGAATGCGTTTAGCTCGATTGACGAATGATGCCAATATTTCTGAAATACGAGGATTATTTTCTTCTGTGTATTTAGTTGCACGAACTGAGACTTCGTTCCTCTTAATGGTGCTCAGTAACGCGCGCGCCTGTGTCGATAAAAAAGCGGGACGAACTTTCGAATTAACCCGATAATTCTTTACAATTAAAAACTTGCATTGATTATTTATAATTTGATATATCGGCGGGATCTCGCGTGGAGAAACAAACCTCCTCTCCGAATCCTCCTTACAATTCGATCATAATTTACGCGAATCGCGCGCGACGGTTTGTTTCTCGCGGTGGATCACGACGGGGCGGTGAAAGAGACGCCGTTTCCGTGAATGACGCCGTGCACGCCCCGAAATAATTCCCGGGGATCGTCATTGGGGTGTTAACGCGCCGGGATCGATGTCGTTTCCGTTCCCGTGAAGAATCGCGACAATCTCCCGGTTTTAACCGGGCGTCCGGGCGGGTCATTAATACCCCGCGAGTGGGTTTACAGTTTCGAGAGAGATCAAAACACGCGGGCGAGTAAACGAGAAATGGGTCGAAAAACAAAGGTCGCCGGGGGGCGAAGGGGGACACGTTAATAGTTTCCGAAGAGCCTCCTCCTCCTCCTACGTCGGAATGGCGTAAGTGTTGTATATTTACACTGGCGTTACAAGCTCACACCTGGACGCAAGAATAGCGCCGGGGTTCTTCTCCTTCTTCTACTTCCACGAAGTATTTTCTCGAGCCGCGCATACGTACGTCAGACAAACGTACGTTTGACAAAAGCGATCGCTCATATTCCCGATGCATTGCACGGTTATTTCGGTGATGCATGTCCACGGATAACAAACGCGGGTTTCGAACCCGGCTTGAGAGCTATACGTTCTCGTTCGGTGATAATCCCGCGACCGGCGGACCCGACGAGGCACTTGCTCGTTGTTCTTTAAATTGAACGATCGGTGATTGAGATAAGCGAATGTGCTTCCTCGAAAGCGAGCGTCGAGATATGAATGGAGTTTTTTTTTTTATATAATACGGTTGAATGAAAGATTTTCACTCTAGAGATATTGCTTAAATTGCTCTCGGAGACAGATCGAATGATCCGTTTCGTTGAACTTATGAGTAGCTCCTTGTGATTTTGCGAGATAGAGAGAAAGAGAAACGGTCTACAACTGTCGTGAAATTAAATAGATGACATTTTCTTGTCTTAATATAGCTGTACCCCCGTAAGGAAGTCATCTTCCACTTCCTATCTTCGACGATGCCGCATCGAGGAAAGAGGAGAGACGCACGCAGGGTGGTTCACGGGCGGGATGTACACCCGTCGAACGTTGCGAACTGTCGTGTTCGCGTTCGACAGCCGAGCGACATAAAGTCAGCGTGCATGCAGATGGTGGGCCGTAAGAGAGGGTAGTTTAAAAAAATAAAGCGCGGCGAGCACGAAGACGGGAGCTGTTTGTATTTCCACGCGAGATGGGTGATTCTTGAAATGACAGGAGACAACTGGAATAACTTTACATCTCGGAACAATACTACGTGGAGTCGGAAACACGATGGAAAAACGTTCCCTCCCTCGGGTTATCAGCTACAAAAAGTTGAAGACTCGAAGGGTCCTAAAGATATCCTGAAAGATAAGTTTGCGTCAAGTGTGTAATATATCGTAAGACTCGTCCATCACGATAACACATCCGGGGAAACTGAAAAACAAATGAGTAGAAGCACACGGGAAAAAATTAGTCTTAAATCAAGAATGGATATTCTCATATGTAAGCAAGAATATAATCTTCTTCGACAATTTTCAGTCTTGAATTGAGCTTAAGTAATACTTGCATTAAATTCAATCAAATCAAGACTAAAAGTCTTCTAAGGAGATTATGATATTCTTGCTTATATATATATGAGAATATCTATTCTTGATTTAAAACTAATTTCTTTTCCGTATAGCTTCTAACGTTCAAAAACGATATCTTAAGTTCCGTACGGAGACAATTAGTGATGTGGTAGTAGTTGTAACGTGTACGTTAAAAAATCACAATAAAACGTGACACGAGAGATAGATAGAGAAAGAGAGAAATTAGATAATCGTATTTTTAGGAAACATCGCCGAGTTGTCATACGAGTTGTCATGCAAGTGACTGTTTATTCATATATCGATCGATTAACTAATCTTCCGAATGGCAACCATGATCATTTTGCCCTAGCCATTGTTTGAAGCATTCGTTTCTCAAGAACAATCGAACCTTGCATCTCAGGTCATCTCCTGTAAAACTTTGCAATGGGAAGAATTCATAATTAGTATCTTGCCGAGCGGTTAAAATCGTGCGTGAACAAAAAAGATCCTGATTATCATCCGACACGTGCCGAGAGGCACGTGTAACTTGCAGCTTGCCATTTTTTGTTCAATCGTTTCTTTTTGATTTTTTCACGGAATATTTAAGCCTTAGTTTACCTTTTTTTTAATCTCTCCATAGTTGTTGCGTCTAGCTACACTCTTACAGAAAATTATTATTGGCTGTGATAAATAGTAGTTTTACCATTCGTACGAGTAATAAAACTACTGAGCAACAATAATTGATTACTGGCTAATTTATCACAGCCAGTGATACTTTTCTGTAAGGATAGCTGCTTAGAGAAAAATTTTGCAATCATTATTACAGATTGTATGACTTTGTATGTCTTTACGTATGTTACTACTTATAATAATTTTGTAGAGAAAGATATTTTCTCTCAGAAATGATTTTTCATCTCCCGAGGACGTTTTTCCAATCCTTTAAATTGACGGTTCTCACCCTCGCTAATAATTATACTTTTTAAAAGCTATCAGGTCAACTTTTATTTTTTGACATCTGTATCTGTATTAGAAAAGCCTGAAAGGATTTTTTAGAAACATCGATGTTCGCTCATTGAGGATGATATTACATCTAGAGGAAATATTAGGGACTCTAGAAATTCCCTATCCAACAGCCAATCGGCACGTTCGACAAACTCGTCGTACGACGCGTCTTCAATGAACGAACATCGATGATTTTGCCCATCTCTACTTAGTCTTTAATAGCTCTCGCAGACCATACGCATGGCGCTGGTCTGCGAGAACCATTATGGCCTTTAAGGCCTGTATCACACTATGAATTAGGGTTAAGATTAGACTGAAATTTGACGAATCAGAACAAGTTCAGTTAAACGCAAGTTTAGTTAAACTTGCTCTGATTGGTCAAATTTCAATCCAATTTCAATTTTAATTTACAGCGTGATACGGGCCGTAGGCGCTTTATACGCCATCAATCGTGCAACACGGCAGCGACAAAATGAGACACGTTTCGGAACACACCATCGTGGTTGCATGACGTTCCTCGATTACCCTTTTCACGTTCATTTATGAACGTTAGAGGCTGTTCCGTATGAGTCTGTTCTCGCTTGGTTCGTACGTCCGTTCCGCTCGGTCGCAGTGGTGAGATAGGAGACAGGTAAAATCCAGTGCGAACGAGTGGATAGCATCGTACAGTTCCAAGCGGCGACCGTTCTACCGAGGATAACGACGTGTTCGTTACGTGATCCAGCGCGTTATGCATGATACTGCATATTGACGTTACACGACATAACGAAATTGTACGAGTCGGAATGCAATTGTCGAGATAGGTCGGAATAGGTCGGAACAAGTCGCAACCGGTCGAAACAGGGAAGAACAGTGGGAGTCAAGGCGGACGTGTTAGCTTCAGCTGTAACGGACACACACGGCAGCGCGGCGTGCCGGCATCGTGCATTGATCCTACGCGAGGACGGAGATTGGTTATTGAAAAAATGGCGGCCGAGGCACCGATGCTAAATAAGAACCGAATGATGGTGTTTAAGAACAAAGGCAAGGATCAAGAGGTGAGTGAAGCGGAGCTGGCGTTCACGCACGGGCTGGCCAGCGACTTTGGTCGCGTGGCGGCCGGATGAGTCGTAGCCGCCGAGGCGTAGCACGTTCTAGAACTTTCGCAACGTGCAAATGCCATTTTTCTCGTGCGTGCGTACGGACACACCGAATCGTCCTTCTCTCTTCGGTCCTCCGTTTGCTATCCTTCCTCATGGTTTTCGTTCTTCTCACTTTCTTTCCATTTCTCTCTCTCTCTCTCTTTCTCTCTCTCTTTTCTCTGTCCTTTTGATTCCTACAATCTCATCCCTTGTTGTCTCTTTCTGCTCTCTTTCTTTCTCTCATTTCTTTTTCTTCTTTTTACTCCTTTCCTTTACCTGCCCTTTTATACTACTCGTTCTTTTTCTTTGCAATTGTACCAACACTATTATAATGATTATATTGGAATATCTATATAATAGTTATATACATATACATGTATATATATAGGTCTGCCCTTTATAGCTGCACTATGGTGCACTATCTGTACTTAAAACAAAGTGTAACATATACTTGACAGTTGGTTGAAAAGAGAGGAAAATAGAAAGATTGTGAGATAGTTCAGAAAGTACAGCTATGAAGAACAGTTTATATATGTGTGTGATCATTTTGCAAAGTAGTTTCAGCAAGAGAATTTGCTTAAGTTACATATTATATTTAATAAGCATTTTTGACATTTTTCTCTTATTTTTTAAGTTTAGCTGATTAATTGTATACATATTTATGTCAAGCTAGAAAACCTTGAAATTTTTAATATTTTTGTCATGCATGCCTACCATTAGTATAACATTAAATATAATTACAGGTTCATCTATTATCAATTCTGTTAATTACATAAATTTGATTTTTATTTGCTCCAACTAATAAGCTGACATACTTCAATATTGGTACAAGTGACACGAGCAAAACTTAATTTTGAAACACTAGTATTTGCTGACCTGCATGAATTTTAATCTTGAATGATATATTACAATTTTGTATGCAATAATATTGTAATGTTATATCATCCTTGATCATTTTAGGAAATGAGAAGAAGACGCAATGAAGTGACTGTAGAATTACGTAAAAATAAACGCGAAGAGACTTTACAGAAACGAAGAAATGTGCCTATCACAGATTCAACAGGTAAAATATTTAGAAATTATATTTGACATATATTTGACTTTTTTTTTTGACGTATTATGCATGATACTTTCGATATTACGTTAAACTGGACTTTTGTAATACTCAATGAAATATTTTAAATATAATTCCTTTAGTTTTAAATTCTAAAATAACTTTAATATAAGAACTAAAATTTACAAATATACCTTAATATAGATGAGGATGACATTGACAAACATCTTTCAAAAATCAGTCTGGATGATTTGGTAGCAAAAGCTGCTAGCGCAGATCCAGCAGAACAATTACAAGCTGTACAGTCAGCAAGAAAATTGTTGTCGTCAGATCGTAATCCACCTATTGATCCTCTGATAGAGAGTGGTATTTTACCAATCTTAGTTCGTTGTCTGGAACAGCACAACAGGTACGAAGAAATATTCTTTACAAATGAATTGACTATATCAATTCTGAATAAGGTATCAATAAGATTAATGAAAAAAAGTATGACATAAAGTAACTAAGAACCTTGTAAAAAATTTAATGGAGATTTGTTAACAATAAATTTGATATTCTATACGTTATATATAACTTACATTATATTTTCCGTATGGTTGTGTAATGCATATTTATAAACTTATGAATATTTTATAGTCCATCTTTACAATTTGAAGCAGCCTGGGCTTTAACAAATATTGCAAGTGGAACATCAGCTCAAACACAAGCTGTAGTAACAGCTGGTGCTGTCCCATTGTTCTTACATTTGTTGCTTTCAAGTCAACAGAACGTTTGTGAACAAGCAGTATGGGCTCTAGGTATGACAATTATACAAGTTTTTTTCATAAATCTATCAATAAAATTGCTCAGTTTATAAACACGAGTTGTTTCTTTTCAATTTAAACTTCGTTTTTCCTTCAGGATGTTAATGATCGAGATGATCAAAAATTTGTCAAAAAATTAACTGTTTTTATATAATTTACATTTATATTTTTTAGGTAACATTATAGGAGATGGACCAGTACCAAGAGATTACGTCATTAATCTTGGTGTTGTGCAGCCATTGCTAACGTTTATTAAACCAGACATACCTATTACGTTTTTACGTAATGTGACTTGGGTTATCGTAAATTTGTGTAGGAATAAAGATCCACCACCACCCGTTCAAACCATAAAGGATATTTTGCCTGCCCTGAATGTGCTTATCCATCATCAGGACATTAATGTGAATATTGCGTTATGGGGAGAAAATCGTTGATCGTTCTGTCCAATACAATAGTCTAACAAACTTTTGTTCCGGTAGATTCTTGTTGATACAGTATGGGCATTGAGCTATCTGACCGACGGTGGTAATGAGCAAATTCAAATGGTCATAGACAGCGGTGTCGTACCTCGTTTGATACCGCTTCTGTCGCACAAAGAAGTCAAAGTGCAAACTGCTGCGCTCAGAGCGGTTGGTAATATTGTGACTGGCACAGATGAGCAAACGCAAACCGTTTTAAATTGTGATGCCCTCTCGCATTTCCCCAATTTGTTGACTCATCCCAAGGAGAAAATTTGCAAAGAAGCAGTATGGTTCCTATCAAACATCACTGCTGGCAACCAGTCGCAAGTTCAAGCTGTCATAGATGCTGGACTTTTACCACTTATTATTCGTAATTTAGCAAAGGTAAAATTTTAACACACTTCCCTGGTTTTTTAAAGAAGAACTTAACACTTGGAAAATACCTATATATATATATATATAGAATCGTTCGCGAAAAAATATCATTCAAATATGATCCTAGATCTGATACAGTTTTGTACCTTGTACATCATTACATGCATTGTGTATAATCGTTTTTCACAGGGTGAATTCCAAACGCAGAAAGAAGCCGCATGGGCAATTAGCAATCTTACAGTAAGTGGTAACAGAGATCAAGTTGCACGGCTTATACAAGAGGGAGTCATTGGCCCGTTCTGCGACCTCTTGTCGTGTAAAGATACTCAGGTTGTGCAAGTGGTGTTGGACGGAATACATAACATGCTTAAACTTGCGGGTCAACAAGTGGAACAACTGGCAAATATGATCGAAGAATGCGCCGGTTAGCACATCTTATTTTATTTTGTTATTCACTCTCATCTTTTTATATTCCTCGCAGGCATATATTTATACATGTGTGTCTATAACAAAACGTAGAGAAACGAGTGTGCGTATTTATACTTACATTTACATTTTTACAGGCTTGGACAAGATTGAGGCGCTGCAGAATCATGAAAATGTAGATATCTACAAGCTAGCTTACGACATCATCGAGCAATACTTTTCGGAAGAGGTGAGAATAACATTCGTATCACACGGTCTATTAAAAGAATGTGGAACGACATAAATTCCCCCAAACATAAATTTTATGTTCGATCGTACTCAGGCTATGTTCTGGACGCATAACAAACACTAAAATATGCTTCTCTAATTCATAAGTTGAAACCTACGTGAAATTGAAATTGGAAAGGCATATATTTACACAGCACAGTGTACTTAGCGTTTGCTACGTATCCAGAATAAAGCTTCTAAAATAAAACATCGAAAGGGCTAGACTTGACGCGTTCTGACACAGTTCTCATTCTCTTCGTTTTATTTTCTTCAGTAACATCGTTGTCTACTGTTTTCATGTATAAATCTTCGGTTTCAGGCGGATGATACAAACTTAGCGCCACAGGTCGGAGAAGGATCTTTCGAGTTTGATCAGACGACGAGTATTCCGAGCGAAGGTTTTAAATTCTGAGAGGGCCTCCATTACTTCTTATCCGATCGTGCCGTCCCCCGACGAACTCCAATGTGGAGCCATCCTGCTTTCCCTTTTCTATTTCTACATCCATTTTTTGCTCCAGTGAAGGCATAGCAATATGAACTTGTCGGTCCTGCAAATTACTATTATAATAATTAACGATAATAATTATTACAATAATAATATGAAGGACCGTTATTATTGCTTTTGCTGATCTAAAACGTACAGCGTGACTTATCTCAATTTTTTCATATTTGGAATATAGGAATGGAGTTGAAAAAAAAAAGTCGGTTACGAAGCAAAGAACCGCGTGCATCTGTGTACTTTGATTTCTTTTTTCTTTTCCGACTTTCCTCATGTAATATGTACGTTACCCATTTTTTTTATTATACATGATAAATGTATTAGTGGAGTCTTTAGTCGAACGCAGCTGCAGAAAATAACGTGCGGATAAATTATTCTAGTAAAATTAATTAGCTGCCTGCACATTGGGAAAACGCGAAACGAAACAGAAGGATCTTTCTAATTGCTTCATCATGTTGCTCTTCACTCTAACTCAGGACGAGTCTTGGTTAGCGATATTACTTTTATAAAATAATTCGTGTATATTTTAGGCATGTTAAATTTATAATGATATTGATTACTAAATAAAAGAATCAATTGACTACTCTTTGCTAGCATAATTAATAATTGTGGACATTTCTGTAAGGAGCCAGACAACCAATAAAATACCAACGGAAACTCGGCAAGACTTTAACTATCAGTCGGTAGTTTTATTTCGACGTATAATAATAATTTATATTACATGTAAGACGGAATATATATCTCACGAAATTAAAGTCGAATGTGCCTGGTATATCCTTGGTCTTTGCGTATATTTAAAAATTAGCTTTATATTTAAATTGCGAAAACATTATCATGTATAAGAGGAAATGAATGTACGTGTAGAGAAGACCGGGGCTAGTTGGCTGATTGATTATTTTTGTTGTTTTCAAATGGGTTACAGAATCACAACCAGCAGAGATTTCAAGTATATCAAAGATGATTATGAAAAGTCCGTATTTGCTCAATTTTATAACCTATTAGAAAACAAAAGAAATAACTAACTTACCGCTTTAGCAACTAGCTCCGACCTCCCGTAAGTGAAGTATCTCTTGATTTAAAATGACACATTTTTCTTTATTTAATAATATACAAAAACAATTAGGATTCTTTAAATTCTAATGTTGGATCTACAAACGGATGTACATCATCTGCGTACAATTCCTCCGGGAGTGATTCTTCGACCATGTTTGGAAAATACGTGGGAAAATAGGGTGCCTCCTTGAGTCGCCTCAGAGGAAGTATCGTGTCGTACATATAACAATAATTATTGGTTTCGCCCGCTATTTCGCCATGAATCCACAATACGTTGTACTTCGTATTAATTCGTAAGATCTGCGAAATGTCGGAAGAAGGATCAAATGATTGCTATACTTCCGTGCTTAAGGCTCCTGTATCGAGAAATCGCATGCTAAAATATATCACGGTATACATGGAATAAAAGAATATATTCATAAAATAGCATTCGTAACAGATTCAGCACACTTGTAAAAATGTCCGGACGCTTTCCTTTAACCAGAGCAACCAATAAATGGCCGTAAAATTAACGTAACAGAAAATCAGATTAAAGATAAGTGTCCGGACATTTTTATTGGCATGCCGAATCTATCACGAGTGCTATTTTATGCACATATTTTTTTATTTCCATGTATACTGCAATATATTGTGACATGCGATTTCTCGCCGCTTCTGACATCGTCAACCAAAGTGGCACAAGAGTTTTAAATGTAAAAAGCAGTTTTAAGTTGAAAATTAAACCTTCGGGCTATGAATCTTCTTCGGGGAAAATTTATAGATTACTTCTTACGTATTTGCTGTATCTTAGATATATACGTATACATGTATGTGCATATCTTACCTTTACGCCTCTAAGAATACGCCACTTATTACCCATGTGTCCAGGCAACTTGGTGCCAGGCATAACACGGGCCTTCGTGCCGCCCGATCCGATATTCCCGGGTCTTCGGTGAGTCTTGGTTACACCGTGAGTGGCGGGCATCCCTCTGAAGCCCCATCGTTTCATGACTCCTTGGAATCCACGATCCACCCTAATGGATTCACACGTAACATAATTGATACTATCGTTCTATTCTCCTTTCGGAGTAAAGTATCGTCGTGTGGTATGAGACGCGAAGGGGATAATGTGATGATGATAGTAAAAAAAATTATTTACGTTTTTGCACGAATATCCACCCTATCTCCTGGCTTGAAGTGCGGAGCAAATAAAGGAGTCCCTGGTTGTAATGCCGCTTTTGGAGATATCATAAACCTTCTCAGTATTCTCTTCGGTATGACTCCTGAATCCTTGAATATACCGCTGTATTCTTTAGTGATCTATACGAAGGGACAATTGGTAATAAACCTGTTAGTAAGTCAGTGAAGGAATACATGCCAAATGTAGTCTTTTAATTACCAATTGTGGATCTATATTTTCTGCGCCTACAACAAGACACCCGAGTCTCTTTTTAATCTGTATCGGTTTTTTACCTATCACGGGGTAGAATTTTTCTGGTGGTATATATTTTACCACTTCATTATCGACTACCTGTATAAAAGTGTAGAATATGGCAAGATAAGTTTAAGATGAAGATGATGCTGCCATGTAATTAAGAGTCGAATTTACTCTCGTTACCTGAAGTAATGTTGATGTAACCCTCGTACCATTCTTCAGCCATAATGGATAAACGCCAATTTTCTTAGCGATCAAACCAGTACGTTTCATACCAGGTACCCACTTTGTGACTGGCTCAATCGGATCTAATTTCAATGGAGAAGGATTCATTCCAGGTTCAGCATGAAGTAGACCATATTTGTCTTGAATTACTTCTTGAAGAAATTCTTTGCTATCCTCTGTTAGTTTTTCATCATACAACTGCACAGAAAAAGAATATGTTGCTTGTATTTAGCAGATATCCATCTTTTATCCAGGACAGACATATCTTGATATATTGTTTGCATCCTAATTAGCATAACGTTAAGATGCTAATTAGAATGCAAACAATATATTTTATACAACCTTATACAACAAAAATTGTATCAATATATAAAAGAAGTCATCTGATGCCATGGAAATTGTGGTAATATTACGGCGATATTCTAATGAATATTGCTAATTGATATTGGAATTATAATATATTAATATATGTGTACTAAGAAGAACACTTTTATTAAAATTGTGTTATAATAAGTATTTCTTGAAACAAGAATATTTTAAACATGTTGCAATAGCATCACAAAGTATACATTAAATGTTTGCATATTGTATTCAACATTTCTATCTATCTGAGTTAATTTTAATAGATATTTTTAGAAAACAATATATGTATTTCTTGACATTTTGTACTTATTTGGAAAAAAAAATATATATACACTGGTTACGTACGACACGCTGTGGTTTTGGTAACCACTGTGGATGACGGTATCTGGGGATTCCGATTCGTCTACCTCGACTCGGAACAGATGTAATATTGATACTAAAAAGAGAAACAAATTACCACTAACATTTCTGCAGGTTTTTTCATTTAAATGTTACTTTTTATATCTCGTTTTATTTAAATGTTACTTCTTATATCTATATACGTTTTCATTTAAATGTTACTTCTTATATTTCGCCTTTCTTTCTCGCTTTTTTCGCAACAACGTATCCGCTCGTTCAAGATGAAATATTTGTTATGAATAACAATAAATGTCGTACCTTTGTTTTAAATATTTGTGGAACAGTTGGCAACCGCTAATGATCTTCATAAGCGACGTCATTTTTCATATATTAATTTCGCACTAATCCCTCCTGAGGTTTTCCTTTTTTATCTTATAATCTTACGCAAATGAGGATAACCTAGTCCTAACCTTAAAAGATATTAGAGGAAAATCTTTACATCGTCAGGTTAGGTTAGATGATTAATCTATAGTACTAGATAGAGTGTAGATGTTCCTAGATGAAGAACAAGCTACGTGAGGTTGATTATGTGGAAGGGTCCGTCAGCGTATGATGCGATAGCACACATCCATTCACATCGGCCGATGCCTAGAGTCTTTCCGCTGGATCACCAATTAGAAAATGTTATATTACATTAGCCAATCACCTATGTGATCATCAACCAATGAATGTGGTTACCTATGTGACCAATCAACTATAGGTTATCGGAGCTCGACCAATTATAGGTCTGTTCGCTGCACCGCTGAACTAGTGCAATAAGTTGAAGCAAGACAAGTATATGTTTTCTCACTTCAACTTATTGCACTAGTTCAGTGGTGCAGCGAAAACGAACAGACCTCATATGGCGGCTGAAATAGGGAAGGGTCACACATGCGTACGGAGAGCCAGCGAAGTAACTTGAAGATAACCGTCATTCAGTGAATATTCATGAGGCAGAGGTATTCGTTTTTTCGCAGCGTATTCCGCAGATCTGGTGCGTTTAATGAGACGATTGAACATCTTTCCCTCCAAATTTTAGATCTGTTATGAGCAAGATGAGAACAAATACTGACTCCCAAAAGTCCAACACTGTTTCTAGGGTTAGTATATTTATTTCGCCAAACACGAGAAACGTACGTCTTACGGTGTTGTAGCATTTTTTTGTGATAAATTTTAACGGTCTATTTGGCATAATGTAAAATAAAAATTAAAGATAAACTCTAATTACTAATATGACGAGTAAAATTAAGCAGTGGTAATAATACTAATCCTGTAATATAAGTTGGTTAAGTATTTAAGTTTTCAAGCATTTTCTCTTTTATCAAAACAGGTTAAGGTCAGACAATCTTTGCAATTGTTGCAGCCATCAGCCACGGACAAAGAAAACCTGGTTGCTGCGGGAAGAATGCTTAGATCAACAAACAAACAAATTAAGGAAGTAAAGACTGAAAAGTAAGTTACTTTAAAGACTACTATGCATAAACATTGCAATAAGTTTACTGAACATCAATATGATATTTTAGTGTCACATCAGACAAAACAAAATTAAATCTTTCTAATAAATCCAAAAAGAAGACGTGCGAAGACAAGGCAATACAAACTGCTCCAGAGGAATATAATATAACAACGGAAGATTTAACGTCAAAAGGTATATTCAATACATCTTTTTTCTTGACTTTTTTTATGTTTCTTATATATACTACGTATATACAATATGCATACAAAAAGAAATTTTAAGTTATTACTGAAATATTTATTTTGGCATATTTTTCTTTTTCAGCTCCTAGTAAATATTACTGGAAAGTCTTAGCTGAGAAGCGACAGAAAGTGATTGACGAGTTTTTAGTTGAAATTAGTACACTCAAGGAACAAAATAATATGCTCAAGGAACAGTTAGAAAAATTGAATGAAAAAAATATCTTGAATGAGGAAATGTTACAAGAGGCAAAGACATTTATTGAAGTGGTGCAGGTAGTGTTGATTATATATTGTATTAATATTTTATGCATAGCACTCCATTATTGCTTTATAATGAAATAATATATATTTTTATAGGAAATGATTGAAAACAACAGCAATGACAGTAATGACAATAATGGCATAAATAATTCATTGGAAGATACTTATTAAAATGAAACAATATTTGACTGTTTTTACGATTATAACATGTATTAAATATTAATATAGTTATTTATGTACAATTTTAAGTAAGACATGTAATAAATGGCATTTAATTTGTATTCGAAGCTTATCTTAATATTTATTTTCGCCTCGTATAGATTTTGATTTTTTAGTAATATAATTTAATGTAAGATTTTAAGTAAGTTTTGCCCAGTAACTGGTCTGTTCCCTAGCTCACACTGGCCATTTCATATGCGTATTAAATAGTAATATTTTATTAGATTTTGATATTGATTTGATATCGTACGAAGCTGGCGATACGTCTTATTAGTGCATACTGTAGCAAGAAATCACTAACACAACGTTATTACAATTACATAACATGTAACATGTTTCAAATATGTGGTTCTCAATATTGTACACAATGTCATCGTTAACAATATTTGACGGAAATATTAAAAATAATGTTTCCGTACTATAATTTTAATATGGGATAATATTATTAATATATTTATTTTTCTTCGCAGTGCTCTTCCTTCCTACCTGGGCAGAGTACCGTTAGTCGGGAAAATCGCAGAAACCTTGATAAGTAGAATCATTTTTCTTTAATGTAAAGCATGTGCCGGCTGTCGGCGTTTTTCATCCCGGTCGGTATGAAAGCTCCTGAGATTCGAATGTTGTGTGAGGCTTTCGTTTTGACAAAGTTCTGATATTAGCAGCACCATTTCTCGAATTCCGTTTGCACGCGTGTATTCTACAGGAGACACGCTGACGCGTCAGATCCGACGATGCAAACATCGGCTTGTTTCCGCTTTCTAGAATTGCGTACGTAGGAATCCACAATCAGCATGTAGGGTCGAATACAGTGTGCAGGGATCTGATAGATATGATATTTTATATATGTGTTATTTGTATTACATGTGCACACGCATACACGCATATATATACAGAGACATATACGATCAAATTTAAAAGCTTTGTTTAAACGTTTTATTTAGAGTCAATTTTATGTAAAATTTTAAACGTATAATTATATACATGTTGTGTGTGTGTGATTTTATATATATTTATGTTTACAGGTTGTTCTAACATGAGGATACCTAAATATCTCCTTTGTTTTTAATGATGCGAGAAATGTTTAAATCACAGTTTGAGCGGTTTCGAAGAAGGAATATCGTGTAAGGAACTTTTTTTACGATTATTTTTTCCGATTTTTTAACATTCCTAATATTTAAGTATTTAGGTGTTTATCTTGGCTGGCTAATGCACCATGTGTATACATATATATATATATATATATATATATATATATATATATATATATATATATATATATGTCCGTGATCATTTTCCTGATGTGATAAAATTTAACCACCACGCGACGTCCGGACAGGTGAATGAATGCGGGAGGGCACGAATGATGAACGTGGCGGGGGTGTAGGAGAGCGATAGGATACGGGCGTCGGATGGTGTTGGATCTCTTGACGGGTGCATCGATGTCCACTGGCTCCCAAGGGAAATCCACTTCATGATGGGAATCCCATTATTTCCCGAGCGATATAAAAGTAGGTAGTCCAGTCGTCCACGTGCTGTCCAGTTGAGGCTATTCCGATGGCCGTCCTCCATCCTCCCACGCCACATTGAGGCTCTCTTTTTCTCCGTTTCACTCTTCCTTCTTTTTTTGCTGTCTGCCCCTGTTCTCCCCGTCTTCCTCTCTCTCTCTCTCTCTCTTTCTCTGCCTCCCTCTAGCCTTTCCTCTTACACCATTACCATTGTCTCCTCTCGTTCGCTCCCACTGTTCTCCGTCCATTCGCAATCCATTTGATTCCGGGCCTGTCTCCCGAAGGCGACGCTCCGACTACGCGAAGGACCATTTTTAGTTTAGATTAATACCGTGTACTATCCTCGAGATTCGGGAGTCCGGCCCGACTGATAAACGAGTTCCCCTCGATTTCGCGAGCGTTTGCTGAAACGCGCGTGTCCCAACGCGTGTTGAGAGCTTGAGTTTGAATAGGAAATCTCGTGCGAACCCATATTACGTTGCGACCTATAAATGATTATAATTAATTTCATATGTAAAAGTGATACTTCTCTAATGTGTGGTTTTGCGGTAACACGGAAGGATGTATGGTTTCTCCGGGCAACTCGACGATGAATATAACCGCACGTCGATTGCTCGCGATCTTTATATCGCGAAATCAAAACGCTTGGATTTCGTGAAAATGACGTCCGATATCGCCCTCTCTCGATTTAACTCGAGAGTGCATTCGGCCGATAGTCGGAGGTTCCGTTCCGTTGCCGTGTGGAGAGAGCGGCTTGATAAAGAATTCCATCCCGGGGCCGGGAATGGTCGTACAAGGTGTGCGGGCAGTATAAAATAAATATGTGAGACGCAGGGGGTGGCACTCCAGAAAAGATGGACGCCTGGAGAGAGGGCGTGAGTGCTCGAGGCTGCCTCCGTGCCGGGGAAAGAGCGGAGAACGGGCTAGGTTGGGTGGACCCGTGTGTGGAGATCGGGTGCAGGACTCGTGTGTGTTGCTGGGTAATTGATTTCTTTGATACCACCCGCGCCAAAGGAACATTGTAGATGCTTGCCTGCGTACGTAGTACGTAGAGCTCTCGTAGGAAGGGACAGACGCCTCTCTCCCTCTCTCTCTCTTTCTCTCTCTCTATCTATCTCTCTATCTATCTATCTATCTATCTATCTATCTATCTCACATTCCCTCTCTTTCTCATTCTCTCTCGCCGCTTCACCCTCGTAAGAGCTGCCGCTGGGCAGAAAGGGCGGAGGAGGGAGGGAGTCCTCCCCAGGATATAGAATGTAAGAAGGGGGTAGATTCGAGGACGGTGGCGGATCTACCGTCCTTCGGATCGATGGATATCTCTGCGCTGGACAAGGTCCCCCCCGGCCTCCACCCTGCTCTACCCTTCCATCTTCTCCCCGAGGATGACCAATAACAAACACCGTCGCTTTTCTCTCTCTAATGGAGTTTTTACCGATAAAAAATTCACTCCCTTTTCTCCTTTTTCCCGCGGACGGCTCCTACCCGTTCCCTCCTCCTCCTCCACCATCACCCCCTCCTCCACCACCTCCTCCACCACTACACCCACCACCGACACGAGCACACTTACGAGTTCCACTCGTCCGACTGACGGACCACCACCGTCGCCACCATCACCACCCTCTGTAGCACCTTCTGAGCGCTCTGCCTATGAAACGACGCTTTCTTTGCGACATCTTCGAGTTACGACGTGGTCGCATTTGACTGAAGACACTGGAAGGGCAGAGTATCGTGACGGGGGGAGGAGAGGAGGAGAGGAGGTGAAACTCTCCATCGTAGCGGAGAAGGTGCCACCGACGATTGTATTGTAGATGCTGACGTATACGTTAAGGGTTCACCAGAGGTTACGATCGCAAGGGCTGACGGAATTGTTGCTTAGGTGCACATCGCTATCGTTTATAGTTTCACCCTTACGAGCAGCTTGGTTCAAGCATGAAAAAAAATATTTATTATTTGGCAGGTATCAATAACATACTTATTTCAATCCAAATTCTTTCATTTAATTATAAGTAAACAATTGTTTTCACGTAAAACTACACAGTTAAGACAATACATATTTTCTCATTTAAAACATTTTTTTCTTAATTGAAAAAATATATGCAAGGAAAAATTAAGATTTTTTCTTCTCACACGAATATCACGACCAGGTTTATTTCTGTCCGTGGTTAGGAAGTCGATACGTTAAAGTAACACGCGTAGTATTATTGTCTGGGAAAAATCCAATTCTGACGTGTGATTCATCTTGTCTCGCCACTCACCGTTCAAAATGAGACGAAGAGAAATGAAGGGCAAGATATCGCAAAGCGCGATCCTCGGTGATAGGGAGGGAGGTAATCGTCGCGAGTTGCCCCCTTTTGCGTATCGTACGGAGGACAGGTTGGCAAAATCGTTTTGAGATCGTGGTTGTCGCCTTGTAAGATATGCAAAGTGACACGCGGACATCGGGAAACTAGGTAGTTTGTGGTCATTGAACGGCTGCAGCGCGCGGTCGGTTGGCTTAGTTCGGACAACGGGGGCCGGGAATTTGAGCCCCATCGTGCTGACGGTATGTATCGATTGTTCTGCGATATAATGCCAGCCACGCACATATGAGACCATGCGGGCGCTTCGTGTAAACTATCGGGTTTGTGTGTCCGATTCCCCGTGCCACCGCTGCCGTACGTATTCTCGCAGACATTTTATACGACCGGCTCCGTGCGGATGCTTACCGTCTTCGAGATATAAATTAGCATCTGGGCGCCATGTGAAGATACACAGCACGTCACTGTATCTTTCACGATAGATTCTTCGGACGATTCAGAGGCTCTCTCTCTCTCTCTCTCTCTCTCTCTACCTGGACGTTGGAAATCCAGGTGAAAATCATAGAATTATATCCACTTTGAACGGATCGAATGTGCAATATGATTTTATTATACTTACTTTAACGATTTTACATAAATGTCGTTTGTTTCTTCCCCTTAGAGCTCAACTCGCCGAACGCCGTGAAGTGGAAGAAGAAAAAAAATGCAGGCCACCCCCTATCCCCCTCGGAATGATTTGAGACATCGCAGTCTTCTTTCGAACCATTGCTTCGTACGTACACGCGAGAGTTCCCGCACGTATTTGCGTAAACGCGAGCGCGTTGTTCGCGTAGCGAGCCGAATTGCTAAACTAATTAGAACGATTTACGCGTCGAAGCGTCCGACCTCGGACTGCACCGTGAACGGTTTGACATTATTATCCGCTTAAAAAGCGGCGGGCGCTGCCCGTTTCGCTGGTTGCAGCGCTCCGAGCGAAAGCTGTCATACATATATGCATGTAAGGAAGCGAGGGAATCGTGTAGGGTTTCGGAATAAAACAACGGTCGCGCGACACGGTGTGTACGCGAGGAAGCTGACCACCGCGAAACCGAGCACGCTCGTACGGACGGAGGTGACAAAAGTCCTCGCAGGACCGACGTCGCTGAATATGGTCAAAGTGTTCGGCTTCGAATCTTTTCACACCCTGCCGAACGAATTCATCCTACAATCATCCTCAACGTCTCGTTTCAATCGTCATCA